CTCTAGCCATCACTACCCCAGCTACCAATATCTCTGCCAGCAACCACTACTCTAACCACCACAACACTAGCTACCACTACCCCACCCACCACCACTTCTGCCACCATGATGTATTCTCCTTAACACACTTTCCTCCTTAACATAGTCTCATCCGTAAAACATATTTTCTCTCGTACACAAAGTCGTATTACCCCCCCCCCCCCAAGTCTTTCCTCCTTAACACAGCCTCGTCACTAACACAAGGTCCTATTTTCCTCCCAAGTCCTCCTCCATCATCAAGCGTCTGTGGGGTGATCTCCTCTGGTGCTCAACAGGTCGCTTAGTTACCGAGGTTGAGAGTGACCAAGTGTGAGGGAAAGTGGCTGGGCGGGTGAACCTGACCACCCTCAGGGGGATCTGAGGTATTTCCTAGCACTTCCATACTACACAACCACCACACGTCAGGAAATCCACTAAATGAGAGAATTGCCAAGTTTATTCTTATGGTAGGTTGTGTGGAAATAATTGAGACGCTATCACATGCAGGATACGAGGTAGCCACTTGCAGGATATAGTATGGTTCCTGCAGGGGATAAAAGTTGTTCCCTTCAGACGACGGGTTGGAGCCTTCTGTAGTTAAGATGGATACACCTTTTAGGATACGTAAGTTTCCTTCAGTCCGTCTCAGTGAAGCGTTACTAACTCGTCCTCAGCAGTGTCGGTTCTCCTACACTTTTACTGTTACATACTTTTAGGAGAACAAATATCGAACCTCAGTTACTGTCTTATGCATAGTCATAGTGTCAAATGGACCTACCCATGGCGATCAAGTGCCAAAAAGACCCGCCGACCTGATTATCGATGTGAAGTGGCCAGCGAACCTGTGTATTAATAATGCTTAATGCCAAAGGGGTCTACGTATGATTGCCGTGTGTCAAGAGCCAGAGAAACCTATACATATTTTTCAAGAGTCAGAGGACCAGCACTGGGTTATCAAGTACCAAAAGAGGGTACGATGAATTTCAAAATGAACACAGCGACTCCTGTTGTCTCTGTAGCGTTGTCAAAATCCTTCGTCCGCTCGTCATATTGTCTCACACAAAATCGTAAAGATTATTTTTGGAGTGAGTGAGCGCATCGTTGTCATGTGCCAAGAAAAGGTAGGTTTTGGGGTTACAACATAAGCGGACGGGTGTGTGAGGAGCGCCACCCACCAGGCCGGGAGCAACGCTGTAAAACTCTCACTTTCAGCGAGTAATGTTGATGAGTCCGGCATTACGTGAAGGCGTGGGATATTCATCATTACCTGAGCAACAACCTGTGATTATCTTCCAGCCAGCGGTGAATGTTGTTTGTTGCCACACACCTGTCTGTCCTGCCTCTTACCTAATTAGAATCTCTTTCTGTTTCATACCTGCATCACTGTCCTGCACTTCTGTTTCACGTCAATTACGCTGTTAATAACAAAACACACAAAAAAGGTAAAGGTTTTGCTACATAGGGATAATATTATAATTTGATTTTTTATAACTTAATGGAAATTAATTCGTATACAGTAAAATTTGCTCTGTTTCATGTCGCTTATTATCATAAGATAGCAAGATTATATCTAAAGTAAGTTGAGTAAAGTTAAGTTATGGTAAGTTAGGTTAGGTGACGTTACATTGGGTTAAGTTTTCTGTGAAACTATTCGCTTATATGTATCATGGTGATCTACATGATCGTCTATGGCCAGTAAAAAGGTTACAAAATAAAGGAAACATAGAAAGTACCGCTATTAGGCTATCATCCCAATTTAAATGTGTGTGTGTGCGAGTTTCCATGTCTGTTTTACTGCATGCATGTATGTCTAATAGGATGCACACACACACACACACACTCAGGTCAGCCGGGTGTAATCTTACTCCTTTGATCTTGATGTATAACAGTAAACCGTGACTCAAACCTCCACCTTACTACACGACTCTTGCTTGTTCCAGGAAATATTTTACAAAACACCTCTCTCTCTCTCTCTCTCTCTCTCTCTCTCTCTCTCTCTCTCTCTCTCTCTCTCTCTCTCTCTTTCTAAAATCATCATATTAACAGAATTAATCCAATAGTTTTACAGTTCTTTCCTTAATGCCATGTTATTACCTTTGCAGATATAACCAAAATATCGATAAAAGTGACAATTTTGTGGTTTGGAGGGTCTTTCACTCAATGATACATATACTATACATATACCATATACATATACCATATATATATTATTGAGCTTTATACTTAGTAGGGTGACAGATAGTTCAATGTAGAAAATAAATGTTTCTCTTTTTAGTAAAGTGATTTATAGTTTATTGGTGTGAGTCCTTCCAACACTTCCTTCTGAGTAGTCTTGTGGGGGGAGGGGGTGGCTGTCTACCTCCCTTCTCACCAGGCCCTCACCCCCTCCCTCCCCTCACCAGGCACCACCACCCCCCCCCCCACCACCACCTCACTGCCCCCTCACCAGGCACCCACCACCCCTCATATTAATCTTATTACGTTAATTTTGTTGAGCTCTTAACTGGTGAAGTGAGAATTTATATAAAACTGACTCATACATGTTATGGCTAGCTAAATGTCTTATGAGTCAGGTCATTCTTAAAGGGACTTTGTGAGTCAGGACAGTCTTGAATTGTCTCGGTGTTGGTGAGTTGGAGATTGATGAGTCAGACCATATTAATGATTTCTGAGGTAGTTTTGAGCCATCTGGTGAGTCAACGACTGTGAACTGACTAAACCTACTGGTCAGATCTGTGTCTGTCTGGCGATATTCTGTGAATTTTATAGATAAGAATCACGAGAAGGTGAGTGTAGTGGCCGCCGGAGACACGAAGGTCCTTATTTATGGAGCTAAAACATAACCCGGACGGAGATCCCCTGAAGACACGAGATCTTTGTAGGTTGACATGGATTTGCTTTCTGCTCTTGTGGATTATCACTCACAAGGAGTTACTTCATTCTCACCATCACCTTCATTCTCACCATCATCATTCTCACTATCACCATCATCACCATCATCACTCTTTTTATCACCATCACCTCACTGCCATCTTTACCCACCCTTCTTCACCACTATCACCGTCATCATGGGGAAATTTTGTTTAGATCTTCCTGTAGTTTTGCGGAGTCTTCGTCATATTTAATAACACGCCTTATTTCAGTGTCGTCAGTAAATTTACTTATGTTGCTGCCTACGCCTATATCTGTGTCGTATATGTATATAATCAATAGTTATGGTCCAAGTACCGAGCCTTGGGGTGCTCCACTAGTGACGTTATCCCAATCGGATTTAGTGTCATTAATGCTGACTCTCTGTTTCCTGTCCTGTAACCACGCCCTAATCCAGTTTAAAATATCGCCAATTCCATGAGCCTCCACTTTACGTATTAGTTTTTCGTGGGGGACCCTGTCGTAGGTATTGCTAAGGTGGAGGTAAACCACATAGAATGATAATAGATTAGTTAGACATGAACGCCCGCTTGTGAAGCCATGTTGGGAATCATTGATCAATTTGTGCTTCTCCAGGTGATTTCGAATAGAGTTTGAAATTATTGCTTCCAGTAATTTGCCTACAATTGGACTGTAGTTAGAGGATAGTGATCTATCTCCCTTCTTGAAAATCGGTATCACATTCGCTATCCTCCAGGATTCTGGTACTATACCGGTTTTTAATGACATGTTAAACAACTTTGCTAACTGCATACTAAGCTCTTCCTTACATTCCTTTAATACTCTGGCAAATATCTTGTAGAGACCTGGCAACTTATTTGGTTTAATTTATCTATTTGTTTACTTACTGTACATCATTAATAATCATTACTATCTTAATCTATGCCACCATCACTGCCACCATCACTGCCACCATCACCAAGGAGAGAGAGAGGTATAGATCCCGTTTACGGCAACATCGGGCTACCAGATGTAAGACGGGTGTTTTTGTGCGTGTGGTTTTTTTTAACATGTATGGGAGGCAGCGTCTAGCGGCAGTGGTCAGTAGTTGTTTCGTCTCCTGTTGATGTGTGCGTGTGGGGGGGGGGGATATCACATTGCAATATACCTGTAATACAAAAGTATACAGTAATGTGAGAGTGAAAAGTGTATTATAAGTGATGAAGTGAGAGCCAGAGATGTATTATAAGTGAATCATTAATAAGATCAATTAAATAATATATCTCGGGTGTAGACATGGTAGCGTCTCACTCTAGCAGCATAACACTGTGAGAAGATTAACACAAGTGGACAGACAGAAACACCTTGACAAGCGATGGCTCAGGGTGACCTATGGACAGGTCTGGGTGTCCATTTGGCTAACCCGGCTCACCTGCAGCCCACAAAGGTCATACAGGTAAGTGGGTGGTCAGGCCGCTGCCGTCACTCTCCGCCGGCCTCACCTCTCGTGTGCTCCTCTAGATAAGAACCAAATGAATTAACACTGAAGTCGAGTTTTTATTTATGATATAACTGTTCTGTGTGTGTGTGTGTGTGTGTGTGTGTGTGTGGTGAACTTACATGTGTGAATATGTATGAAGTATTTGTCTTTCACTTAAACAAGTATTTGCTATTCCGTTTTCAAGTGCTAAGGACAACACCGTCTATGGAATGTGACCTGTTATAGTTATTTATTTCAAGTCACTCTCCTGTCAACGTCTTGTAGAATGTCAACACTATTTTTTATTTGTATTTTTTGTAATATCAGAATCTTATCACTGTAGCTCACACTTATATATACCGAGGGATTGTGGGAAAAATACCTGAGTAATACCGCAGGTAACCAAATGTAGAAGAAATATGTGTTTCTCCACAACAGCTGATCTAGTGAGATACTTGTTACCGCCGTATTATTGACGCTGGCAACGCACATCTACTGATATTGCAATAATGCAGGCAAGGTTCAAGAGGAAACCTGTTATGGTTAATACATAAACAAACATTTAGTTACTGTTACTTTTATCAGTTTTTTTCTAAGTTTTATTTTTGCTTCACGACAGCAGTTTTACCTAAGTCTTATCGAACCATTAATCAACCTGTAAACATGTATGACAAGTCTGACCGTAGCCTCTCCTCCTCCCCCCTACAGAGACCCATACATCTTCAACCTGTTCGAGGTGCTGCTAACGACACTGGAGACGAAGCTACGTCGTGTTGAGAACATGGACCGGGCCCTTGAGAGACTGGTCCGCCGCCTCGACACTGTGGAGACCCGTCTGGCCATCAACCTCAACACTACTACGCAGGTAACGTGGCTTAAGGTGCTGTTGGTGCAGGAGCAAGGGGGGGGGGTGGTGGGGGTGGATTACACAGGGGCTCGTTGGTTCAGCAGCAGGGGGGGGGGGATCACAACACAGGAGGAGAGAGGAAATAAGAGAAAATTAATAAACACTACATGAAAGATAAAAGAAAAGTAAACAATACAGAAAGAGAAAGTAAACAGAACAAGTAAACAGCAAGAGAGAATAAAGAGGAGGATGAATATTAGCACCAAAGAGGAGGTCTGGCTACTGTAGGGAAGATAAGGCGAGAGTTTAGTTCTTAAGATTTCAAAAACTTAAGAAAATGTGAAAGTTCTTAATGTATCAATATTGAATAAATTTGAGAAAATATTCCACCTTCCTCCTGAAATTTTGTCGTGTTGCTCTGAGGAAACACCATCACGAAAATACTCTTTATAAATAATGATAATAATCCGCCTTTTTCTGATATTTTGGGGAATTATTGTTGTTTTTTTTTTACTCATATCACTGAGTGTGGAGGGAGGATAGAGGTAATCTTCCGTCCACTCAGCTACAACCATTGGCGGATTTATCAGCTTAAAAGATCATAATTGAACTTAAAATCAGATTTGTGATGTTTATCTAAATAAGATCAGATGCGTTTATGTTTGGAAACTTGTTGCTGTGACATAACTCGACCCTGCTGTCTGTCCTCCCGCGAGCTGATTGGTTGGCAAGATTTAATGACCCCTCAGCCTTAATGGTGATAATGCCAGGCACACGATCTTGCTTTTAGAGCAGACTTGAGTCATGTGTTGTTCACGTCATGTCGGGAGCTCTGACACAGATAGTGAACTTATCTGTTAGGAAAATGTCGCCAGTAGAGAAAGAAGCAGAGATAGAAACAGACAGATAAATAGAGACAGACAGACAGACAGTTAGACAGAAAGACAGACGCACGCACGCACACGTACAATAAAACCGGAATTAGTTGACCAGCTCTGGTTCTTGCATCAGTCTTAATGTAATGAGATGGAGATTGTCATTTCCTCTCCACAATCCCTTAACACGAAGCACCATAACATAACATAACATAACATAACATTAACAATAAGTGACTTACATTACACATACAACTCGGGTACTTCTCGCAGTAGAATATCTTTGACTTCAGTTCAGTTATTGATCTCTGTGTCAGTCTCGGTTATCTAGCTCACCAAGTTTGCTGAGGTACTAAGTGTTTTGCGGGTCGTTCCACATGATAACACACTGACATTTAGGAAGTAAAAATGTTCAAAGTATAGTTGAATGAAAGGTGATTCAACCCTGCCTGTGTTTACAGATGGTCCACCTGCTGGAGACAAGACTTATCGACCCCAACACCTACAGAGATAGCAGCAGTAGTAGCAGCAACAGTAGAAGTAGTAGTGGCAGCAGTAGCAGAAGACGAACCGAAGAGTCACGCAGCAGTAGCGACGGAAGAGGCTCAACGGAGGAGATCAAGACCATGAACAGTCTAATGGAACAGCGACTGTACCTTCTGACGGAGCATGTGGCCAGAATCGACAGTAAGTTGTCGAGTGTACAGAAGGCACTCGACACTAACAGTATTGTCATGCCGCAAGACGAACTGGTGGCCGCCGCCTCCGAGAGCTACCGCAGTAGTAGGTGGCTGTAGGCCTGGGTGAAAGGGAGTCTCTGCTACTCTGGATCTAACCACTCTACGGAACTCTGTCTACTGTATCTACCTGCCTAACCCTACCTGCCTCTCACTCTACCTACTGACCTGACTGTATCTACCTGAAACTCACTTGACTGCATCTTCACCTGCCTTCATTCACTCTAACTGCATCTACCCGCCCTCAATTCTCCTTAACTGCATCTACCTGCCCCACTCCCACCTAAACCTGTCCCCTCTACTGACTCACCCCCGCCTCCCCACTCTACCTCTAACTGTTTCTACCTGCCCCCTCACTCTACTCTAACTGCATCTACCTGCCTCACCTACCCCTCACTGCATCTACCTGCTCTGACTGTACTCCACCTGCCTCCACTCACCTCAACCTCTCTACCCTGCCCTCACTCTACTCTCTAACTGTATCTACCTGCCTCCTCTCTCTAACCATCTACCCGCCTCTCACTCTACTCTAACCTGTATCTACCTGCCTCCCTCACTCTACTCTAACCGTATCTACCTGCCTCCTCACTCTCTAACTGCATCTACCCGCTCTCTCTACTCTCACCTACTCTAACCGCATCTACCTGCCTCACCCCACCTCTAACTCTATCTACCTGCCTCTCACTCTACACTCTAACTGCATCTACCTGCCTCTCACTTCACTCTAACTGCATCTACCTGCTACCTGCTCACCACCTCTAACTCTCATTCACCTGCCTCTCACTCTACCTCTAACTGCATCTACCTGCCTCTCACTCTACCTAACTGTATCTACCTGCCTCACTCTACTCTAACCTGCCTCTAACTCACTCACTCTCTAACTGTATCTACCTGCCTCCTCACTCTCCTCAACTGCATCTACCTGCCTCTCACCCACTCTCTGTTTCCACCTGCCTCTCACTCTTACTCTCACTGCTGCCTCACTCATATCTACCTGCCTCTCACCTCTACTCTCTAACTGCCCACCTGCCTCCTCACCTACTCTAACTGCATCTACCTGCCTCTCACACTCTCTAACTGTATCTACCTGCCTCCTCTCTACTCTCTGACTGTTCTACCTGCCTCTCACTCACTCTAACTGTATCTACCTGCCTCACTCTACCTCTAACTGCATCTACCTGCCTCACTCTACTCTACTGTTCTACCTGCCTCCTCACTCTACGCTGACTCTACTCACTCTACTCCTGTCTCCACCTGCCTCACTCACTCTACCTCTGACCTGCCTCTCAATCTACTCTCTGCTATCACTCTACTCTCTACTCTCTCTGACTGCATCTACCTGTCTCTCCACTCTACTCTAACTGCATCACCTGCCTCTCACTATTCTCTAAATACTCCTGCCTCTCCTCCACTCTCTCTGACTGTATCTACCTGCCTCTCACTCGACTCTCTAACTGCTTTACCTGCCTCTCACTCTACGCTGACTGTATCTACCTGCCTCTCACTCTACTCTCTAACTGTATCTACCTGCCTCTCACTCTACTCTCTGACTGTATCTACCTGCCTCTCACTCTACTCTCTGACTGTATCTACCTGCCTCTCACTCTACTCTCTAACTGTGTCTACCTGCCTCTCACTTTACTCTGACTGTATCTACCTGTCTCTCACTCTACTCTCTGACTGTATCTACCTGCCTCTCACTCTACTCTCTAACTGTATCTACCTGCCTCTCACTCTACTCTCTCACTCTATCTGCCTGCCTTTAAAACTTGCCTCCACCCTCAACTCCCTCTCAACCTCCACCCACAGACGCCGGCCATGAATCAACTTCAAGAGTCTATAGAATCCGTGAGAGAGTCGGTGACGTCTATGGACCATCGTCTACAGTTTCATATGGCCTATGTGTCCGGGGACCTGGAGCAGCTGGCGGGCTCTGTGAGGAACATACACACAGCCATACTGGAAGATCAGACCTTTTCCATCGACACCACCACCCAGCCCACTAGGTAAGGGTCAGGGAGGGCCAGGAGAGGGTCAGGTAAGGACAGGGAAGGGTCGGGGAGGGATAGGGGAAGTCAGCCTGTGAGTTGAAGGCCAGGGGAATGTCGTGGGAGGGTCAGGTGAAGGTCAAGGGAAGGACAGAAAAAGAGTCAGGGAGGGTCGGGAAGGTCTAGAAGGATCAGCCGATGAGTTTAGTAACAGGGGAAGGACAGGGGAGAGTCAGGGCGGGTCAGGGAGGTCAAGGAGGATCAGCCTGTGAGGTGAGGGACAGGGTAAGGACAGGGGAGGGTCAGAGACGGCCAGGAAGAGACATGGGAGGTCAGATAATAAAAAAAAATACACATAAATCTGAAGTAGAGAACCAGCCGTTGAGTTTAGGGATGAAACACACGTAAACAGTTGTTGTGAAGGTAGTTGTTGGCTCAATTTTATACTTAAGAGGGAGAAACTGTGTAGGGTTGCTCGAAAAATTCCTGTGCACCTGTAATAATTAAAGAAGGTAGTTATTAACCTTTTTTTTGTACTTATAGTAAGTATTGGAAGTTGTATCCACTTTCAACATTTACTGTGACCATTTCTCATATTTACCGTAAGTAGAAAAAGGTTAATAAGTATATTGTTAATTACTGTAGGTGCACAGGGACTTTTCGAGCAACCTTACACAGTTTCAGCCTCTCATGTTTTCCTCTCGTGAGTTATTGAAGGCTGGTAGTAAGGTGTTGTCTCCCACTCAGCAGGAACATGACGAGGACGGCACCACGCACCAAGATCGACTCCTTGGTAGAAAAGATGTCACCCATGGAGACAGTCTGGGAGAAGATGGAAGAAGTGAGTATTAATGTCACTGGCTTTCTTCACTTGTTTAGGTGAATTTGCAAATGAGAAAAAAAATACGGTTCTTTAATGTCAAGCTATGTAGATGGCCTGCCATTTATTGACGGTAAAAAAAATGAGCGTTGTCATGCGCATGTGGTAATGTCAACAAGGGATTAGACAACATTTACAGCTTTTATTAACAATCTTGACACACGTATTAGTCAAGGTCTTCAATATTTGGGTTACGTCAGCCAAGTGGATACAGCGCTCGCCTCTTGCCTTAAGGTTCGCTTATTGGCACTAAGGGCACCCCCAGTTAACCCATCTGTAAATGGGTACCTGGCTTTACAATTAGGGAAGTTAAGGCAGTTAAGGCAGCACATTGCTTGATACACTTTCTTTTTTAACCAAAGACATATGATTCAGTGTACTGTATCCACACTGCCCTTATCGGACTGTCAGGTTTATGGAACTCACTTTCATCTGAAGTATAATTATAAGTAGTTGAACTATTTGAATTCCACTGAGTGATTACATCTCTCATAACACTCTTGCGTATAAGGAAGACTGACACTAAAACAGGTGGGTGTGAGGTAGGAGTGACACTAACCATGGTTCCCTGGCAGGTATGGGACGTGGTGGTGGGGACCAAGAGCTCAGTGGACGTGCTGGTGCCGAAGAGCGAGGCGCTGCTCAACACCAGCCAGAGACAAGAGCGAGCCATCTCTACCATACAGTCTGACCTCACCGAGAAGGCCAACCGGATTATTCAGAACCTCGACCAGGTGAGTCAAGGGTCACCATATTATGTTACTACTGTACTGGTGATATTTAATAATAATAATAATAATAATAATAATAATAATAATAATAATAATAATAATAATAATAATAATAATAATAAATATGATTTTGAAAAGCATAATACTTTATTCAATCATAGACTCATCAAAATAAAAATAAATTCATCTAAACGAACATAAGAAATCTAATGAAAACTAGGAGATGGACAGATGAAGTGGACACATTACATACTGTACCATATACTAAAATACATATATGATTAAGAATGTTATAATATATTGTAGTTTGTAATGTATCAGAAACGTCCATAGTTAATGATGTTTTTGTTCGTACAGGTAGAGCAGACGTTGAAGACCATGCCCCGAGAAGGGAACCTGCAGCGGGACCACATCAACCCTGTGTCCCTGTTGCACCGCTCTACTGCCCCCCATCAGGTTGAGGACGACACCCCCGCTGATGACCCCCCAGGCGACCTCGTTGACCAGGTACACACACACACACACACACACACGCACGTGTATATATTGTATGTGTGTTTATTGTGAATACGTGTCCATCATGTTCCTCGCTATAACTTCTTGACTGAGGAAGGTTAGGTCAGGTTAGGTTAGATTTGACAGCCGTTGTCCTCACGCTGTGTCTGCCAACAGAGCTTCTTGACGGAACACAACACCACCGACATCCTGACCACCACAGAGAGGCCTATATCCAGGAGCCCCGTCGGTCCCTCGGGCGTGGTGTTCCCCTCAGTACAAAGGAAACCGGTCACCGTCAACACCACCTTCATAGTCAACGAAATGAGTAACCAGAACATTAAGGTTAGTGACGATAGTTTATGGTACTTTTAGCGACGCATAACACATCGTATACACTAATAAGTCTACCATCATACTTAAGTTACAGGGACAAATGTCTTAGTGTTTCATTTTGCTTCAGAAGACGTTAATGGCCTCTGTATTCTGCCATGGAAAGCAATTACCCCAAAAATACAACATAAAGTATCAAAGAGATGAATCAAATATTCTTATAATACCCGATGTTTATGTTAGGTCATCTTCACCTCCCTGTTTATGTTAGGTCATCTTCACCACCATGTTTATGTTAGGTCATCTTCACCACCCTGTTTATGTTAGGTCATCTTCACCACCCTGTTTATGTTAGGTCATCTTCACCACCCTGTTTATGTTAGGTCATCTTCACTACCCTGTTTATGTTAGGTCATCTTCACCACCCTGTTTATGTTAGGTCATCTTCACCACCCTGTTTATGTTAGGTCATCTTCACTACCCTGTTTATGTTAGGTCATCTTCACCACCCTATTTATGTTAGGTCATCTTCACCACCCTGTTTATGTTAGGTCATCTTCACCACCCTGTTTATGGTAGGTCATCTTCACCACCCTGTTTATGTTAGGTCATCTTTACCACCCTGTTTATGTTAGGTCATCTTCACCACCCTGTTTATGGTAGGTCATCTTTACCACCCTGTTTATGTTAGGTCATCTTCACCACCCTGTTTATGTTAGGTCATCTTCACCACCCTGTTTATGTTAGGTCATCTTACCATCCCTGTTTATGGTAGGTCATCCCGTCTAGGTCATCTTCACCACCCTGTTTATGTTAGGTCATCTTCACCACCATGTTTATGTTAGGTCATCTTCACCACCATGTTTATGTTAGGTCATCTTCACCACCCTGTTTATGGTAGGTCATCTTCACCACCCTGTTTATGTTAGGTCATCTTCACCACCATGTTTATGTTAGGTCATCTTCACCACCCTGTTTATGTTAGGTCATCTTCACCACCCTGTTTATGTTAGGTCATCTTCACCACCCTGTTTATGTTAGGTCATCTTCACCCTGTTTATGTTAGGTCATCTTCACCACCCTGTTTATGTTAGGTCATCTTCACCACCCTGTTTATGTTGTCATTTATGTTAGGTCATCTTCACCACCCTGTTTATGTTAGGTCATCTTCACCACCCTGTTTATGTTAGGTCATCTTCACCACCCTGTTTATGGTAGGTCATCTTCACCACCCTGTTTATGTTAGGTCATCTTCACCACCCTGTTTATGTTAGGTCATCTTCACCACCCTGTTTATGGTAGGTCATCTTTACCACCCTGTTTATGTTAGGTCATCTTCACCACCCTGTTTATGTTAGGTCATCTTCACCACCCTGTTTATGGTAGGTCATCTTTACCACCCTGTTTATGGTAGGTCATCTTTACCACCCTGTTTATGTTAGGTCATCTTCACCACCCTGTTTATGGTAGGTCATCTTCACCACCCTGTTTATGTTAGGTCATCTTCACCACCCTGTTTATGTTAGGTCATCTTCACTACCCTGTTTATATTAGGTCATCTTCACCTCCCTTTTAATGTGTCACAATTCACTCCCAGTAAATGTACAAACTTGTTGTGACCCCAACAGCAAGGCTTCTCGTGCGGTGATATGAGCGAGAAGGGAATGAGAGACAGTGGCACTTACTACCTCAAGATCAGAGGCACAACTTACTGGTTCCTCAAGGTCTTCTGCGACATGGGTACTTCTGGAGGTGGCTGGACGGTAAGACCTCCTGCAGTCCCCTTAACCCTTTCTTAAGCCTCCTTCAGGTTTCCTTAAGTCCCCTCACCCTTGCTTATAATGCTATTCACTTTCATCATACAATGTACAATCAATATAATTCACTGTGTAATTGAATAAGACTTTGTAGAGAGATCAAGAAAAGGGTCGGAGAGAGATCAGGACAAGCGACACAGCATCGTGGTTGTGTTTATTATACCAGTATAATCTTCAAACTCCCCTCTAAACTTTAAACCTTTTCTGGCGTTTTATTTACTGTATATTTCGTTGCTGGTCTACTTCTCGTCCGGAACGCTCCCTCTCTTAGGAATTATTGCCTCAGAATCACTATTAATAGCAAAAGTTTTACCAAAGTTTATGGTCTCATTTAGGTAATCCAGCGACGTGATGATTATGGGGAGCCTCGCGAGACCTTCAACCGAGAATGGGATGATTACAAGCACGGATTTGGTAACCCCGAGGCGGAGTTCTGGTTGGGTAATGAAAACATCTATATGCTGACCAACACTGACGACTACATGCTGAGAGTCGAGCTGGAGGACTTTGACGGCAACAGAAGGTGAGACAAACAACAACACTCGTGAGATCTGTTTTAGTTTCGGCTTATAAGTGACTAACAGAGCAAATACGCCAAGGTTTAGATCAATAAGCTTATGAAGTGTAAAGACCTCAAGGTGTCTCAGAATAGCGTTGCTTTGTGCGGGAGAGACTTGCTGTTTATTTAGCCTCAAGATGTTTTAAACTGGAGTGAGTGAGTGGATGACTACGTGCTAACTACTTCACATCTGTCTCTCAGATACGCTGAGTACTCGACCTTCAAACTACACAGCGAGAAGGACGACTACAAGCTAGAGATCGGTGGATACTCGGGTAACGCTGGCGATTCTCTCAACGACCCTTGGTACGGCTCCAACCTCAGCCCCTTCTCCACCGTGAACAGGTAATACCCGGGAATGTTTTTTATTACCTGGCAATTTGCCAGTGGACCTAAAATATAGCCTTAGGTATCCCACATCTCTTTGGATATAGGGAGGCTTCTTGTTCCTCTTGAGGCTTGACTCACTAACTCTGGTGTACAAGTCCTTAATAGGTTGGGGACAGTAGTGTCTGGCCGCCTGTGACCAACAGCACTAACAGTTTTTGAATGATTGTCAAAAATAACTTTCATTATAACATGATGTCTATAATTTTTTTCAACTGTAAAAGACATAGACAGCTTCCCAAATCATACACGAATACCAGATCATATAACCTGCCATTGTTACCAAGACAGACACCTTCCCTCTACTCCTCTACGTGTCATTTAAAACATTCACTATTAACAGAGAAAACAAATGGCTTTTCAGTTCCCAGCCATGTACTACCACTATTTCGGCTTGGAGTTGTATGTTTCAGAGACGCGGACGATCTACTGACGAAGTGACGAAGGCACAACAGGACTTACTGAGGCTTACTGAAGGTGGTTAGCGAGACGAGACACCGACACAGCCTCATCTGCCACCAGGCGGGGACGTCACCCCTCACGATGATGACCTTATTATTGTTATTTATAGAAGAGAAACACTTAAACTTGTCCTCCTGTCCACCATGTTAGGTATTTGTTCTCACACTCTCTTGTCTACCTCAGTGAGGTGTACTGTGACAGGGAATACAACACAGTCGCCCTCTCGATGCTGTTAGTGAAGGGGAGGGAGACCTGTCGTGGTGCAGCAAAACACACACACACACACAACATATTTTCAGGCTAATACTACTGATGTACTTGACTATTTTAATTAAGTTATTGATACAATACCTCACACGTAGTTATTACTAGACGTTAACACTTACAGCTATAATTGTGACGACTGACACAATAGAAGAATAAACAAATAAGTAATTAGACAACGAAAATTGATTAAAACGGGGAACAAATATCCCTTTCGGTACTTTACTTCCATTACTTTTCAGTTTGTTTTGAAAAGAGTTCAAAACTCGAAACAACAAAGTATCATTCCAATCAGTTTTCATAAAAAGGAATATCATTGAAACAATACTGGAGACGCTTCATAACAGTTAGACAAAGTGTGTCTGTACAGACATTTTTTAAAAATATATGAGTCAATAGTGCATATATTAATAACAGTGATAATATTACAATATATACACGGTAACGTTATTGAAAACGGAATGCCGTACTGCTGGAAGACCGTTTGAGAGCTTTGTGGGTTCGAAAACCGCAAGACACCCACATTCATACCTACGGTTGACTATATATTTTGGTCATCTGTCGGTGTAATATCGGCAAGTCTGTCGATGTAATGTGATGGAATGTCGATTTATAATGAGATGGTGTCAAAGATTATGACGTAGTGGTATAATGCAAAATACTGTCTATTTTATGAATTTCCGTGTGAGTAAAGTCCAAAAAGGGGTAGTTGGTACTTTTTAACCTTACGAAAGAAAGAGTCGTGGACTGTTCCGCTGGATTCCGTTTCATCTCAATACGATAATTTTTTGGGAGGGGTCTTATTTCTCAGTCTGCCCAATGTCTGTCTATTCGTCTCTCAAAGCCTGGCGGAAAAAAATGATCGTAGGAAGGCGTCTCTTAGTTCTTGTTCCAGCCATAGGTTTGTTGTGAACGTTCTTTCTGTCTGTGTCACTGAATCATAACCCATCACTACCGACGTCAACCATCATCCGCCCTCCCACCCTCACCACCATCCAGACACCGTGTGAATTACTCCCTTACTCCACCACACACTTACTACTCAGACACGGCTTCACTATACAACTTCTATAATGTATGACTATGTTTCAACTCTTCCTTTTGACAGAAATAGACAGTTAGGAGTGTATTTTATCTCTATCTTCTTGGGCGACTTGTTGTGGAAATTTCCCTCATCTGGAAGGTCGTAACTTCGAATACTACTTCTCCCAAACTTATAACGTAACTTCAGGTGTTAGAGACTTGTGAGGGAAACATTGGAGAAATTTATTAAATACATTGATAATTTGACTTCGTTCTATGATAATTTTGTGTGAGTGTTTTATCTATGTGCGACGATGTGTTGTGTGAGCTGTGTCTGTGTTATGTGAGCTGTGTCTGTGTTGTGTGAGCTGTGTCTGTGTTGTGTGAGCTGTGTCTGTGTTGTGTGAGCTGTGTCTGTGTTATGTGAGCTGTGTCTGTGTTGTGTGAGCTGTGTCTGTGTTATGTGAGCTGTGTCTGTGTTATGTGAGCTGTGTCTGTGTTGTGTGAGCTGTACTAACGTGTGGTGGTTACCCCCCAACAGAGATAATGATCGCTCCAGCCTCAACTGCGCCTCTATGCTGAAGGGTGGGTGGTGGTGGCGCTCCTGTGGGCGAGGACTTAATGGCATCTACTTAACAGACCCCAACGATCTTACCGCCAGACAAGGTGAGGGATTCCTACCTCTAGTAAGCAACAGTCTCTCAGCCACAACCGAGAGACTTCTAGTTGTGTTTAGTTAATTTATTTAGCGTTGATAGTTACAACATTGCTCTAGATACTGAAGTTGTTATAGTTTTGTGTTATTAATACTTACAACCTAATTGTATGCATAGATTCATTCTTACTACATCGAGATAGAATTTAAAATCTAATTGTATACGCATTCATTCTTACCTAAAACCCAACTATGCACATTCATTCTCACTTAAGTGAGGTGTAGAGTCTTGGTAACTGTGTACTAAAAGTGGTGTGTGAGTTAGGTGTAGCGTATACTAGAGTATTTTATGCATGAGTCCTGTTATCATGTGTGTATTAAGTGAGGTATTTTGTCCCGGCAGGTATCGTGTGGTTCAGATGGAGGGGGTGGGACTATACCCTCAAGAAATCTGTACTTATGATCAGGCCGAAGAATAAGAACAGGAAATCTTCATAATAAGGAAAGTGCTGAAGAAAGGAGAAGGAGAGAACAATGAAAACAACACCGAAGGGAAGAAAAGGAAAAATCATAACGAAAGAAACGCCTTGAACGTGAATGAAGGAAGACGGTGAAGGATAATCTATGTATTGAAACTGAAAACTAAAAAAAAATATAACTTTGGGTTTTTACTCCATGACTTGGGTAGTATAGGCAGAGATTTTGAGTATAATTCGTAAGAACAATGTCGTCTGCTCTACTGGGAAAAAATTATACGATGTAAACATTATGAAGGTGATGGTGGGTGCTGGGAACGTTCATAGGCTGGCTCACTGAGAGGAGTGACACATTCGTTAGTTAAAACCAAAATATTACACCGAAATGTCGAAGGAAATTAACTGCTCTCTCCATTCGCTTTTGTTAAGCATTATATAATAAAAAAAAAGAATCCTTACGAGTACTTTAGGAAGAAAGCTATGTATATATTTTTTGATGATAGTTAAGTGCAATACTAAGATTCTTTTCTAAATATACTGTATTATTTTACGATAGTTAGAGAATAGTTATATAGCTTTACCTCCTACTTTATCAAGATGAATACTGGTTTTGGATTAAGTGCTTTAAAGAACACGACTTGAGTCATCTCACTTTAACTTGTACAGACTCGTGTAGTTTAGCTTGTGTGCTGTGAGGCCCTCAGCCTTGTGGGTCCTGCCGCGTCGCTAGCTTACTATAAGACTTGAACCAATACCATACAGACGAAACAGCGCCAGCACAAGCATACAGTAAGGATTGGCATTCCCCTCCAACTCGCAAACGCTCGAATGCTACGCCAGACAGTTGTTAGCTCGCTCTCTGGTTTATTATCACCACTGGAGCGAAGTCTTAGTTTGATGAGTTAAGAGTGAGCAGACTGTACCGTGTTGTATCAAGTATTACGGGACCTGCTCTGTTATGTGTCTATATGTGGTCTTCTGCATATACCTTCCACTAGGTTTAGATAGTATAGATTTATTTATTTTTTTGGGAATCTCTTTTACGAAAAAAATCAATCCCCTTACGAGTTCTTGTTCAGCTCCACACACACACACACACACACACGATTCGTCAAGACACCTTCACCCACCACCCCAGAGCTCAGGTGTGAACGTGCAGGTGAGACGTGATTGCCAGGTGTAAGAGTTAAATATTCTGTATGGTCATTCCTCACACTAAGAAGACCATGTATAGTGTATGATGGAACATTCCCCCTAGTGTATAAGGTGGTATGGTACAATCATACACCTGTTTGAATCAGGTGCCGCCCAGCCAAAGGTGTACAAGTCATCCCTGTGTTTATCGTCCATAACGCAGGTAGATAAAACTGTCGTCGCACGATACACATGTTATTCACACACACACACTGGTACTTGGGGTAGCGTAGACCGTCCTGTGAAGGTGACCTGTGTATATAACAGACCATGATTTAAGCTGTCTATTTCGAGGAACTGATATAGGAGGTGTGAAATGATCCTCTCAGCCTTCCAGCCAAACCAGTTGAGGTGAATTACTATTGCTAGATTAAACCTAACCAAATTGTCTTGGTGGTTGTGAAGAACGTGTGTGTTGTTATTGACTTTTTTTTTAATTTACATGCTGACTTGACGAATCCTTTATGTATGTTTATGTACAGCATTATATTTGCCTGGAGAATTTTGAGCATTCGTTGTATGCCCGGTGTATACAAGACCTAAAGCGTTGTATGTCTGAGTGAGTGTTTGTGTATTTAGAGTGGTGGCAGCTGGTCACAGAGGGAGATATGTTGCTCCCGACTTATATATTTTTATATATGTATCTTACCTGTATATTTTTTTGCTTGTGTAGTGCAGCAGTGTAATCCTTGTACATGAAGCTTCATATGACCCACTTCTTTTGTAAGTACGGTTTTCCTCCTCTTATTTTATACCACCACCTTCAGTCTCTATACCACTGACGCTAATGAAATTAGTATATTTTTTAGGCACATGTTTTCTTGTTAATTTTTGTTGAGACAAGATAAAGGAAAGAGTTTATTGAGGCCAACTTATATATACAGTACATGGTGAGGCTCTGCTTCGCTCACTCAAAGAGGCTATATCATAATTGTTTCGGGTTTAGAGCGATGTTTACAGGAGTTGTTCACTAAGCCATAGTTTACTGTCAGGTGACGAGAGAGACAGGTAGTGTTTACCTTCACTGTCTACCAAGGAGTTCCACATCACCATGAAGACCCAGAAAAAGGAACAAGTTCACAACCAACATTTTATCAAACAATTACAATAATATTATCAAAATCTCTTTTACAGTCGTGATCAAATAACATTGAAATAACCACAGAGGAGAAATTTATGTCATTTATGGTGATGGAATTTTCTATTACATGAGGTGACCAGAATAATTTACGACTCCCAGATAGGCCAGACGAGTGAATGACCAGAAACAAAAAATTAATAAGTTTTGGGAGAGAAGAGCATTAGTTCAAAACGGCTGTCATGTTACAACTGGATGGTAGAGACAGCACCGGGATGGTTCTTTTCTGTCCAGGAGTTAGATAAGCTCGTCTGTTTTCTCTCATATTCTGTTTAACTGGAATTACAGTACACAGAACGATCTTTGTAAAAACACTGTAGTCAGAACCTCTACTAGATAGAAGGTAGTAAGTATCCGGTGTTCGACTATGGTCACTTATCTGGTTAATTATAATGGTTGTCTGCTGTGTTCACAATAATGGTTCTGGATCATACTTTTTGTTCTAGTTCTTTATAATGGTATTCTGGTTTATTATAATGGATTCTGGTTCATTATAATAAACTACGGTTCATCATAATGGTTCTGGTTCATTATAATGGTGTTCTAGCTCATTACAATTGGTTCTGGTTCATTATAATGGTGTTGTAGCTCATTATAATGGTGTGAGACTCAGAGGCCGCTTCTCAGGTCATTCTCACTAAACTAGGTAACTCTCTATCCTGTCTGTTGATGTGGTATTAATACTTGAAGATGACATAAACTACAAAATTATCTAATACAAAAGTACTACGTGTTATTGATGTGTTATTGATACTTAAAGACGACATAAACTACAAAATTATCTAATACAAAAGTACTACGTGTTATTGATGTGTTATTGGTACTTAAAGACGACATAAACTACAAAATTATCTTATATTAAACTTCTTACTATGTGTTTGGTGGACGTTAACTCAGTCTTGCCTGAAGAAATATAATTATTATTACGATTGAATTTCTATTTAGTGACAAAATAAAAGGTTGTTCGCCTGTAAATGTAGTTTAAACAAGGTGATTCAACTGTTAGTCCTTATCAACAACATACAAACGGATCATCTGTTCCTGTATAAAATAAATCAAGTAATTATGGATGTAGGATGGGTAAATATCATGTGTGACGTCACGGCTCATAAGGCAAGCACCATCATGGATAGAAGTTGTACAGAGCCGGAAATGTGTGCTCACGGTCTATAGAGATCGTGTATGAAATAACAACAAAACATTCCTACATATATGTTGCCGAAGACTGGAGTGATTCACGGTATTTCTTTGTTTTATAACTACTGTAGACGACACTGTAGTTATCACCAAAGTCTGGACGAGACGCTGTCTCTCATGGCAGTTTTCAACCTTGTAATAATAAAAACAGTTATGAAGGATACAGTTGTTTGCTTACCCCCAAACGTGCTCTGTGAGGATTAGTGATGTTCACTGGTGATCAGTGATGATCAGTAATGGTCAGTGATGATCAGTGATGGTCAGTGATGTCCAATACACCATCACCCACCAGCTAGTTTGTGATTGATCAGACTGTAGGTCACCTCTTACGTATTTTGTAGAAGGTGACCATTTTAATATACTGTATGTTTAAGGAATATTCTGTGTTCTCACGCCTTCTGCACTTTATGTAGAAAATATATGTTGGCGAACATGATAACAACGTTACCCTTTAATATATTTTCGTTTTCTTTAATCGGTCAACAAAGAACATTGATAGGAGTAACTTTTGTAATATTTAACAAAACACAACATTTGTACTTCCTTTACTTATATCCTCTTCCACTACCCACCTGTACCACGCTCCCCTACATATGCTGTCAAAGCGATAACCAAACAGCCGACACGCCAGAAAGCTCGCCAGTGACTGCAAAGCTCCCCATTATTTAACAATATTATAAATTAATTTTATTGGAATTAGTTAATTTTACCGTCACACCACCCCGTTAAGTACTATACTGCGGTGTCCCTCAGGACTCAATTAGTTTAAAACTCGGGTTGAAACACGTCGACCCTCTTCAAGGGAAGATGTTTAATAATACAGGCGTTAGTTTCTTCTAGATATATTCGCTAAGCAAAGGGTCCTACGGGCATCACCTGAAAGGTATTTAGCCTTTCTATAGGAAATTTTGATTTTAGTATTACTTTTATCAATTATATTATCACGATTAATTCACAAGAGTCAAGAGTTAGTCCAAGGTATTTTACTGAGGTTACAGTTGAGATGGTTCATTCGTTTACCCTTTTCAGTTTTTCTTTTTATTCAGATAATATTGCTTCGGTCTTTGCAAAATGTCGGGGTAATTTGCTGTCTATGATCCAAATGATATAGTTAACGAGTTAACTATATCATTTGGATCTTTACCTCACATTTAAAGAGCACTGTCATGGGCATACAGCAAAAGTTTGCAATTAACACTAATGGACATGTTTACATAACACCGGTAGAGCAATAGACCTAAAATACTCACTTGTGGGACTCCACAGGCTATTGACATGAATGTTGACTCATTGTTATCAGCAACAACAATTTGTTTCAAGTTGCTTAAGATATGATATAAACCAGCCGACAGACCCAAAGCCAAGAGCCTGCAGTTTTTCACATAGTATAATGATCGACTGTGTCGAAGGCTTTATGCAATTTGTCACATGCAACCAATCAATCAACTTGTTCTTAAACTAAGGTTCACATAACATCAAACTTAAGGGTAACAAGGATACAGTATACTGAAGACTAAACCCTCGGAACACTTGGGGACAGCGTGACAGGCGCTGGTCTTTATCGCCTTTATTTCCCAGCTGTAAAGATACTGTATAGGTTTTTCTGCAGCTAAACCGTCACGGGATGCTTCCTTACATAGTAACTTGCTGCGGGACTCAAACTAGCTATCGATAGAACGGGAAGAGAATCCAAATATTCACCAGAGTACATGGACGGGAATCGCTAACAAAAATAAGTTTTTACAATATGATTGATGGTGATTTAAAAAGGTATAACCTTATTTTTGGGCGGAAATTAATAGTTATGGAGATTTGCGTTGCACAAAATGGGCAGGGCTTTAAATTCGAGGGAATTGTGGTGTAAAAACACTCAGAAAGTTGACTCAGCCAAACCTAAGGAAACTTGACTTTACCTTACCTTTGTTTTGACGATTTTGCATCTTCATCAAAACCAAACGTGTTTATATTTACGATAATGACAGCCTGGACCACACTTTGGGCACCTTAAGGAAGTAAACAATACACGATTGTCTTTGAAAATGTCAATAGCAACAGCGTTTTTGTACAGACCACGTTGGAATGTTTCCCATTCCGACGTAAAACAGCCGTGACACAAGAAAGACATAATGCGACTGAAGATTTCCCTTTGAAATACTTGGGGGTATGCGCAGATCACTCACATGACAGAGTGTCGTCCCCTGGTTGGTCGAGGCTGGTCATGTGAAGCAGTAAACACTAAATCCCGCGAAATTTACTTCAGCGAACTGAAAACCCACCAAAGATATAAGATTTTTTGTGACTTTACTGTATAATCAAAATGACTCCAATCTTTAAATTTCTACAAAACGCAATAAATAGTATTCGTATATTTTATGCTCTATCATCCTATATACAGTACAATTTAGTGTAGGTTGCCGTTCATGTACTCTACTGAATCTTAACCGAATAATACATCCACCTGTCAGCAACACTACTAATTCATTTATCTTTTCATAATACATATACATGTAAAATCTTGGACTGAAGTAAACCTCTAAAGGGCTAAACTGTAGCAGAAACATGCAATATTATGTATGTAGGTCTTAAGACAGTTAGCCATTTTCACTTTTGGGCATTCTTGATTGATGAGGTGATATACTCTTGGACAGTCATAGGTGTATCGGTGGAGGGGTTGCCCGGAGGCCTCATCGGGATGTGGTTATCAGGAGCAACAAAGTACAATATGGATACTCGGGCCGTCCCCCGTGCCTCCTCTCCAGCGGGGATCAAAACTTTGTGAGTCTGTGAACAAAAATAGTTTTAAAATGATAGTGCCGGTAATAATCACCGACATTTCTCGTCAAATTATAAATTTTATGAATTCAAATGACAAACCTGAACCAAATTTATCGTAATATTAAAATTTAAGTTCAACGCCTACAAGTTCCCGATAAGATTAAATCATTATAGAAGTAATCAATAGTAATTCATCATTATAGGACAATGTCACATCTGATATATCATCACGTTAAACATTCAGTAAGTAGAGTTGTGGAGCCTCCCTTCCTAAGGCTGTTATTCACACTCTCTCTGTGAGATCGATTTTCACTCGTCTTATGCAGCAAAACAGGTTAATAGTCTCTAAATATTCATGCAGTTATGGGCCAGGTGTGTTGCTCTTACCAATGATGTGTGTCAGCCAGGGTTTCTAAGTTTATGTGTTTGTCTAAACTCTAAAGAATTTTTTTTAAACAAAATAGACTTGGATGCTGGTGATGTAAAACAATAGACCAAACATGGACAGCATGGTGTTTTGTATAAAATGACAGAGCTTTGAGTGAGAGAGGATAAGATGAGATTGAATGGAAAATTAAAAGTTACTTTGAAGAAGAAAAATACATGCAGGGGTGAAGGATATCAGGAGAGGTGCTTCTCATAACGAGAAGAGGTTATGGCGGATGCTGCTGACGGAGAGATGATTTTAAAGTTAAGATGATGACGGATAAGACAGGACGATACATGAAACATTAAGAGAAACAGATGTACAGTAGAGAAGACCTAACTACAAGAGGAGTATGGTACTCAATAATGCACTTAAGAAATACTAGGTCAAGAAGCAAACTCTCGAAATGTGTAAATAAGCCAAGAATACAACTCACCGGAGCCAGGAACTTTTCTCCGGAGTGGAACTGGAGGAATTCTCCGGCTAAGAGAAAGATGGTGCCGGGGACGGGGGTGACATCAAACCAGGACCCCTCACTGTCTTGAACCTGAAGTGACGAAAGGTAAGTCAGAGAGACATAAAGAAGAAAATGGTACAGTAACTCAGTAAGTAAATAGAATTATTGCCACGATTTGAGAGGCGATGGTAACAGGTCACTCAACAATTAGGTCATGGCGTAAGAGGGAAGCCAGCTTTATTATTCAGGATACCACATTAACTAACATTAAGAATATAGCTGTAACTATAAAATATAATCATTATATTAATTCAATTATCTTAAGGATGAAGTTGTAATAAAAGTATATCCAACAAAATTACATTGTTCCGCTTAACTTTCCATGGGGGAGAAGATTACCCAAAGGAGAGTTGATCTAGGTGACAAGTTATTTACCCAGGGACAACACCCACACACACCTGTAGGCCACCACAGTCGTCCTGAAAGATGAATGTTATGGTACCGAAATCCCTATGGGCACCAAATCGAAAAGTGCCTTCAGGAATAGTGGAGGGGACGGGAGGGTAGTGGTTGAACCGTAAAGTTGTGATGTTCTTGTCGGTACCCCTCTCCTTGTGTATTGAGAGAAGATGTTCTGGGTCCTTACCTGACAACACAGAGAGAGTGTCAGATGAAGGAGGGACTAATGAACTAACAGAAAACACAAGTCAACTGAAGAAGAGCTCAACATGTATTAATGAGATGAACAACTTGAGTGTATAATTTTGTGTTTTCAGTTATGTGTGCGTGTACTTTTGCGTGTACGTGTGCGTGTGCAATAATAATAATAATAATAATAATAATAATAATAATAATAATAATAATAATAATAATAAACAGTTTATTGAAAGAAATTGGCAGCCAAGAGGCGGTAATTTGCCTGTACTGTAAGCTTTGATGTAAGGACTCTGCATGTGGCTGGTAGTGGGAGCTGGAGACCAGAACGCTGATAGGTGTGTACTACAGTACACCCGCTAGGAGGCATTGGTTGAGGTGGATGGTACTGGTCCGCTAAGCCAGTTAAGATAAGGTCAAGGGTATTTTGACCGTGTGTAGGGAATTTCACAGCTTGTGATAGTAACAGCGGTTCCTCGATGTCAGTGGTGTCAATTTCGTTAAAATCCCCACAGTGCGTGCGTGCGTGCTTGACTATACTGACCAGGGGTTATACCTGTATCTTTGTGTGAGTAATGTACGTGTTTGTACTGCTAGGGAGTACGTATGTGAGAGCGTTGGGAGCGTAGGTGAGTCTGCCTACTTTCCTCCATTTAACGATTATGAGATACACGTATCTGCCTAACCTCGAAATGGATGTCGGGCTCAGCTGCTATAAAGTCCTAGATACCCAGACTGAGGGATAAAGCTGCCATGATCCTTTCAGACAGCTCCTTGCAGGACTTGAGGAAGGACTCCGCGGCAGGTTTAAGGGATGGAATCTCCGGTTCATCAGGCAGCTGTTCTGTCCTTCTTGCGAGGAGGCCTTCACACAACTCACGGGTCGAACCGCTATAACTGAAAGTAAATAATATGTTCTTTTTTAATCAATTATAATAATTTTTTAAATATCGAAAATGATTTCCTTCATTTACATTCTTTTGGTATTTTAAAAACATGCGCAATATGTGATGGTACTCACCTCTCCGAACCCATTCCTATGTACCCACTAAGTTTGTCAGCATCAAACGCATATCGGTCCTTCTTCCCTTGTTCCAGGTTAAAGAAGGCGATCGTTGAGTCATAGAGGAGACGCCACTAAGAACAAGGAAAGTGAAATGAAATGTGTTTTGTTGATCAATATCAACTGACACAGTTATATGTAAACAAACGCATCTGTATGTAAACAAACACAGCTGTATGTAAAAAGTTGCTGTGCATAAACAGACGTCGCTGTATGGTCACTCACCTGGTCGTTAGGAACACCATGGTCACTCACCTGGTCATCAACAACACCCTGGTCACTCACCTGGTCGTCAGCAACACCCTGGCCACTCAACTGGTCATCAGGAACACCATGGTCACTCACCTGGTCGTCAGCAACACCATGGTCACTAACCTGGTCGTCTTTAACAACATGGTCACTCACCTGGTTGTCAGCAACACCATGGTTACTCAACTGGTCGTCAGAAACACCATGGTCACTCACCTGGTCGTCAGTGACACCATGGTCACTCACCTGGTCATCAGCAACACCATGGTCACTCACCTGGTCGTCAGCAACACCCTGGTCACTCACCAGGTCGTCAGTGACATCATGGTCACTCACCTGGTCGTCAGTAATACCATGGTCACTCACCTGGTCGTCAGGGACACCATGGTTAGCAAGGTAAGAGCAGCCAAATTCGGTTAAGGCGTTATACAACTCCCGCGTCACCCTCTGCCACTCCTCTTGGCCAGGTTCCTGCCCCAAACCTGTTGGTGAGGAAGGCCCTTAAGTGGCTCAGGTATCTGATTTTAGGCGTCCCTCACCTCCGCAAGGACTCTTCACCACACCCGTTTATCCTTCATTTCTTAACCTAGTACGTGATGTTAGTTCTTTTAACTGAAAACTCTTATTTAATCGATGGTCGATTTGTTTTAATCCTAGTACGTGGTCAGTGTTCTCGTCCTGAGTCAGTTTGTGGTTATTCCTAACTCGGTGTACCAGTGTCTGAATCAGGGACTCGTTTACCAGCTCTCCATGCACACACGCACGTACACTACCCTACCAACATGTCAAATATCCTATCATAACTTAATGTACCAGCCGACCAGCTTACTTTGTGTGCCCTAATACTTACGTACTACTGTGGACACTTAACAACTGTTATATTTGTACAGTCAACATTACTCCCAGTGGCTCGTGTGATAAATTTACCACTAAGTGACAACAGGATAAGGTTTTTGTGTGTGACTCACCTAGATGACCCAAGTCGATCACTGGCACCTTCTTGGTTGATGACAATTTTGAGGACATTCTGCTTTTCATTCAGTTTCCTGAGAATGAAAGACTGATGTGAGTGTGTGTGTGTGTGTGTGTGTGTGTGTCCTTCAAGGTCCAGCAATAGACTGGACAGACTGGACAAATATTTCACTTAGTTCATGATCACATTAATAAGACAAATAGAGATTGCAATCTTTAAGTGGAAACACACAGTGAAAACAATAATTAATGTTCCACTCAATTCTTTCAGTTCACATGAGTATTAACATTAAAAACTACATTGCCCAAAACATATAACTTATTTGGCATTATCAAGACGTGAGAACAGATTTAAATGTAAAATACAATTACAGTATAAAATTGATAAAGTATAAAAGCAAACATTAGACAAATGATACCTTGACTAAAAATCCTACGTAACCCTTTAACAGAGACCACACAGTATTTGAACGAAAATATTAACTTTGTAATGAAGAAGTTATGGTGCGTCTCTGACTCGATCTAGCTGAACACTGAAGATACAGTACAGAGAAACTTGTTACTCGGCAAGAAAGGTATGAAACGTCAGTCCTTTGTTATCTCAACATTCATTGGCCACTTTGACGCTACTATCTCTCTTGTAACGTCCTTGGTTATTGGTCCCGTGTATAATTATGAGAGTAAATATTCAAGCTGGTCAGAAAAAACGCCCACCTCTTAAACAACATTTATTTCATCAACAAACCGGTGTCACATGTAATCTGCACTCCCCTGGATTTCCACTCCCCAGTCATAAGGCGCCTATACGCCTTCCCTCTGAGGCCCACTGCTACTCCGAGATCCCCTGCTGGTCTAGTCTGGGCCCACGAAGCACCCAGTTACCGTATGTTGCCACGAGGAGGCACAGCAGGAGTCTTGATGATGAAGAGGTAATACAAAGAGGCAAGAACATTTTACTTGGGGGCAAGATGGTGGGCAATGGCGTGAGATAGATATAAGGGAAGTATAGTACTGTGTGTGAGCCAACAGCTGGTGAGATAGTGAGGAAGGCCACAGTCACAGTCTGACATACACAAGGCTTCATCATAACCAAAGGCTGAAACGTCTTCAAGTACCAGTCTCCAGTCCAACCAGAATTAATCAAGAATAACAGTGTTTTCATCAGCAGGTCACACACATACAGAAATTCACAAAGGCATTTCAGCTCGAGATACACACCAAAGAGGACCCACTGTGACCCGAGAAGATGGTATTAAGCCGTTTATTGAAGCTGCTGCTGGTGGTGGTGGTTTCAGGAGCGACAGCAGAAGCCAGCAAACCGGACCCAAAGCTTAAGAACTGTAAGTACTGTATAGTGAAGCTGTAATCCATCCTTAAACAGGTTATTCTGGAAGTAGATAGTTTGGTATTGTTTCACTGTAGCATCTTAGAATAAATCAGACAGTAAATGTTCTCACACAAAGACTTACAGCCTGATGTGAGAAGTACGAGTACTATTGTACAGTATTTGATGGTAGTGTAAGTTCTCACCTTTAAATCACGCCAGCGTTTGATATTTAGTTGCAAATATACTTTCAAGCATTAAACCCGCGAATACATCAGAGTTGCAGAATTTCAATGATGGAGATAGTCAATGTCGAGAGCCTTAATATGAGGTACCAATACGACTAATTGCGTATATCATATGTTATGTAAGTTCCTGTCAGCCATCTTGAAAGCTAACCACAAAAATTGACATCTGTAATGTGGAATAAACCAGTTCCTTGTTTACTGAAGCAGGATGTTAATATTATGTTGTGTGGACCAGTGCAGGACATCATAGAGGCGTGGGCTCCTCTGGTTTGGCTCCATCCTGAAGAAGTATTTTTCCCTTCATCTGTCGATTTCCACTTCCAACATACTGAGGTAAGTCACATGCTGAAGTAAATCACGTGCTGAGGCAAGTCACGTGCTGATGTAAGTCACGTGCTGATGTAAGTCACATGCTGAGGTAGGTCACATGCTGAGGTAAGTCACGTACTGAGGGAAGTCACGTACAGAAGTCACGTATTGAGGTACTCACCGAAAGTGGCCTCAGGACCACTTCGGGCTGAGTGAACTGGGTGGCGCTGGATGGTCAAAGTGGTACATTTATTAGTTTTCGTATATAAAAGTGGTCGGTGGTGAAGAGTGTACAGTTTGGCAGTGTTTGTGTGTATTGTATATAGTGGTAGTGAATAGTAAGTGTACGGCTGACTAGTAAGTGTACGGCTGACTAGTAAGTGTACGGCTGACTAGTAAGTGCATGGCTGATAAAGTTTATAAGTAAGGTTTTCGTGATTACTGATAAGTGTATGAGATAACTGTGGCCATTGGACAGATACAGTGGGATGAAGCTAGTTGTGATGGTGTTACAGTAAGGAGTAACAGTGACTGGTGACAAGATATCCAACAGCACCTGGACTGTTCTCATCACAATCTGGGAAGTTACCATTTGTTTTTGTTTTCTTTTCATTCTAGTCAATGCAACTGTGCGTCTGTGATAAAGTCATGATCTACAATCCTAGAGAGACTTGTCTAATTTGTGACAGTCTATTCCCAATAAACTGGTAATATATTTGTGACGTAAATTAATCTTTACAGGCAAATAAAAAGGTAAAATATAATCTTTACTCATTTCAAAAGCCATGAAATATATAGAGTAATACGCGATACAGATTCTCAAGTATTTCTTTCCTCTGTTTCGGGATCAACAGGTGAAGACAAGTAACGAGACCGTAGTTCAGACTTCACCAGACCGATACACCGTGCTGACCGGACCAGATACAAGTGACATGCATCTCAACTCTGTCCCAGACCTCGGTGAGTTGTTCATTCCTTATCAATATATAGCAACAAGTAGTGAGTATAATAACAATATTTTCATATCCACTCAGCGATGATTTATTAAAACAGTCATACTCAGTGTTGCTAATTCTTCTGGTGGTGGATTTTTTGTTTACAGATTTAGTAATCCAGTGTATGATATCTATGATGCCAGGGACAAGAAAGTTAATAAGTGGCTACAAGACAACACAACAGACTCCTCTAAAACACTACTAAGAGTAACTAAAACTCCTAATTATTTACAGTAGTTGTAACACTAGAAGTGCTTGACTTTTACTTCCTGTGAACGCAAAAATCATAAAAGAAACGTACAGATTTGCTAGGAATGAGCACAGTAATTTGTGTATATATTCTAACAAGGTCATTGAAAATGTCCAGGGATACAGTTATCCAGTTTCTGACTAATACGAACGCATACACAAGTTACACTAATTATGCATACTATTTTTTTATAGCACACAAGAGATAAAATATGTAGCATGTTTTCATATATTTGAACAAAGCTTTTTTCATTATTTACTTAAACAAAGGTGGTTTTTCATTATATATTTAATCAATGATACATATTTGGGTTATCAAAATGAGTTACAATATTATTAAGGGTTAACTAAATGTTAAACGGAGATAACATTTGTGTAGTCAAGTCTGCCTTACCTGAATATATGAATGGCCTATTTTGCAACTTCCTGTCCCTCATATATTAAAACTGCCATCCTTTTCCCAGTCACATACAACATGAAGCTCAGACGAAACGTATCGTTTCCGGCTGACCGGCTTGTGCCAATTTCTGTGATGAAATCAAGATCCATACTCGACAATGAGGATATTTATGTAAAATATCGAACCACATATAATAACTAAATTTAACTTTAAAAGTATCCAGTGTCGCATTTTCAATAAATTTCTTAAGTGTAATTTTTGTTATTGATGTTAATATTCATAAATACATCTGATTTGTTTGTTTACATTGAGTCATGTGTTCAACTTCTTCACGGCCTCTCTATCTATTCCTGTGTGGACATGCCTGTCCGGAAAACACATGATAGAGATAGACAATATTATATCTCATCGTTGCCTGTGGGACCCAAGGGACGATAGATACAGTAACAAAAATGAAGAGGGAGGCATACAACGCCATCTTCTTTGTTTACAACTGACGAACATGGGAAGAGTGGCGCTGTCCTCTAAACGTGTGACAGGGCGCGCTCAGAAAATTTCTTCATTTTCTTTTTTTTTAAATTGTCGCAACAAAATGACGGAAAAAGTGCTAGTGTGACGCCGCCTTAAGTGAACATATTCTCATTCCGGTTCAGCTATCTTCCTTAACTCTTTGACAGTGATGCTGGATTACCTCTCTCCCCCAACTCTTCCACTGTGCAGATAATTACTTCAATAACAATTTTGGTTCATGTTTCTATACACACTCCTTAAATTTGTGAAAACACCCACCTATCCACCTATAATGTTTCATATTATTTACTACAATATAAGTAAGCACTCGCTCTTCTTTATGGCAGACTGCCCAGACTGCCTCCTGGACTGGTTCGCTGGAGAGAACGCGACCCCAGTGAAAGTGTCTACCTATGTCTTCATCCGCGATTATAATGACTCGTGCGGCACCGTCGACGTCGTGTACAGGTCCTTCTACCCATATAACTACGGGAAGGACGTCTGTGTAGGTAGGACATATACAGTACTATAACAGGTAACCAACCCAGTCTTGTGTCATCAATTCATAACTCTCTTACTGATATTTAAAGTAACACACATCTATATATTAGCTGTTGTGCAAAAATGCTATTGATGAGTTTACACGCACGCAATTATCAGCCAAATTGTTGTGTCTTTCTTTCTTTCCTCGAACACTTTATTAAGATTTCTCTTCTCACATTTCTTATATCCTCTCTCTGCCTTTTCTCTTCCTCTTCGTTATCCGTTACAATAATACCTTCGTTCCTTCAACTTTTTCCATCTCCACTAACTGAACTATATATATTCGTCTTCGTAATTCCCCTCCCTCAATTTAATCTATCTCCCTTCTTGTTGTCGTCGATCATACTACTTTCCTCTATTTCAATAATCGTTCTTCCTTTGCTCTATAAGGTTAGGTTAGGTTAGGGTTACGTTACGTTACGTTTAGGTTAGGATAGTTCAGATGAGAAGATGAGTTTTTTCCCCGTAGGTATTCCTTTGGGGGAGAAATGTGAGGGTTTCATGCAGTCGTTTGGTGACCACGTGGGAGACTGGGAACATTACTCCATCAGGATTAGGGTAAGTACCTGGATCTGGTAATAATGTAAAGGTATGGGGGCGGGGGGGGGGGAACGTGGAGTGGTAGGAGGAGGTATATCATGAGTTTGGAAGAGAGATTTTTACACCGTTACCAGATCTTTTGCCCGACTCTATATTTGTTGGGTCTCCGCGAATTTATTTGACCGACCGTACCACATCACGCTATAATACTTTGCTTTTATTCTGTTAATTGTCTTTTAAATCTTAACTAAAGTTTGGGTTCTATTATTACTGAAGTTTGGGCTCTATTATTACTGAAGTTAGGGCTCTATTATTACTGAAGTTTGGGCTCTATTATTACTGAAGTTAGGGCTCTATTATTACTGAAGTTAGGGCTCTATTATTACTGAAGTTTGGGCTCTATTATTACTGAAGTTTGGGCTCTATTATTACTGAAGTTTGGGCTCTATTATTACTGAAGTTTGGGCTCTATTATTACCGACGCATTTGATATTTGTTATTGTCCTCTATATCACAAGAAGGTGGCTTAACTTACAATGTCTCCACAGCACGAGAATTTAACTCATTTCACCATGTCCACCACAAGAAGGGATAATAATACCTTTTAACGAGACCCTACCCCCATAGCACGATAAATTCTCTAATATTATTCCTAGACAACAAGGGAAATACCCCTGTTTACCACGTCTCCCATATCACCTTAACCTTGTCCTGCACAGAATGAAAAGTACCAAAAATGACCCTACAGCCCATTCTTTCTCTCCCATAGAAAACAAGTTATGTATCCTACAGAAAACCTGGTTATTCGACTTAACATTTTTCTACAGAATGTTTAAAGGAACCAACATCCTTCACCCTTACACAGGACATTAAAGTGATTGATCTTAATATATATCCCATGACAGTGAAAATGACCCATCTTCCTTATCCTCTTCCCAACAGAACAACAAGGTGACAAAATGTTATGTGTCAGTGCACAGTTTCGGCGCCTCGTACACCTGGAATGATACCACAAACAACTTTCAATTTCTGGAAGGTAAGAATACTCCCCAGCCTTACCTATCTATCTCGGCCTCCCTGTGTGATGGTGGTCTCTGGTGGTATGGAAGTAATGGAGACGTCTTCAATTTTGTTGTAATATACAGTTTAATGCCAATAACCTGCAGATTGTGTCCTACTATTAGTATTATGTCTTTAGTATAAGACACAGATGTGAGTTGATATCTCACAATGCTTTTAAGAAAATCCGCAAGTGGTTATAATGGGGAATGGACCACAAAAAGCTTAAATAAGAAATATAAGAGAATGGAAATGGCAAATATATCCAGTGGAGTAATCTACAAACACACACACACACACACACACACACACACACACACACACACACACACACACACACACACACACACACACACATATGCTCTTTCACTTCCTGCTTTTATCTGTTACGACGACCAAATTTCTCTCGTGTCAGGTGAGGAGAGTCGTGTCGCCATTGACGTGATCAACGTGACATATCCAAAGACGGTGGAGGTGGTGGAGGGATTCCACGCTGAACTCTTCAGTGCCAATGGATCCCACGGCCTATGGTCCCAGCTAGGTTGGTGTTCAGTGTGTGTGAGTTATCTGGGTGTCATGTCAGGCCAAGAGAGGTTTGTTGCTTTTGCTTTCATCACGATAAATCCCACATATTTGAGATATGAAGTTAAGAAGAGATCAGTATCAGATAAATAATTATGAGACAATAATAATGTGATAACAGGGACAACATAAGCGGCCAATTAGAACTCTAGTAACATTTAATACATCTTTGTACAGTACTTACCTGTATAACACAACCTTAGTTTATCAAAATGATGTACAGGTGAGAATATATAATTCCCTTGACACTTTTCGCTATATTATTTACATGAAAGACTGAGTACAGTACTAATATAACAGGGGTGTCAAACTCATGGCCCGCGGGCCAAATGTGGCCCTTGGGATGGTCAGGTGTGGACCGCGTGATGATGGTAAAATTTATCATCCCGTGAATTTTTTAAAGAAATAGATATAATCATGTTTCTTTAGTGAAATGAATTTTTCATACTTAAGATCAGACAAACCCAAATGAGGTATTCCTGGTAAGCCAGGTAAGGTAATGTGTGAAGCTGTAAACTTCAATCCTGCAAACATGTGATATAGCGCTTGTGTTGGCCCTGAAGAGGGTAACTAATATCAAGAATTGGCCCTCGAAAGGTTTTGAGTTTGACACCACTGTAATATACTATCTAATATTGGTCAGTAAGTCCTTGAATAATCATAGCATATTTATGGTCTGATACCTGTGAAGACCATTACTGTGACTGTTGTGGTCTGGTTACTAGTATGGTCTCCCATGTCTGTCTGGGCTTGGTGTGACACTTTATAGTCACAGGCGAGAGTCAGAAAGTGCTATGAGAATCTGTGCTGTGTTTATTTGGGTTCGCTAACGACAAAGCTATATGAACTCTATATGAACCATAATAACACGAAGAAGTGAAAGATACTGAAGAAGTTAAAATGAATGTGGCTTAAAGTGTCCCACAGGACTGTGGGAGAACTTTTGCTGGCAACTGTACATTACTCTCTTAGTGACTTGAGGGCCAAAACCAAGGTCTAGTGAACCAAATAACACTTCATTTATTTATTTGTTTAATTACTTGTATTTATCATTTAATTGTTGATTATTTATGTGTGTGTGTATTTATCTTTCAATTCAGTTGTAATTAATTTGTGTATTTATTTCTTTGTTTGGTTGTTCGTCAGGTACCCACGAGTATGTACACTTCCCCATACACCTGCGTGACCAGACTGAGCGAGGTTATCCCTGGAGGACGTGGGAGAACCTGGAGGTGGTGAACTACGATCCTGACACAGAGTATGACCAGTTTCTGTCTTTTATAGTCGTTTTATATCATTTTACTTTAATTGTGTTGTGGTTGTTTATTAGTAGAGATAGTTTATTATCCTCTTGTGTTATGGGGTCCCCTCTGAGCTGAATAAAAATGTCTGGTGTTAGTTAAATAATCGGGAAATTGAGTTTTATCATTACATCAACATTTCACAGTTAGGTGTCGGGTTGAATCACGTTATGACAACTAGCTACTGACGAGCCAACGTGAACTGCACAAAGCTCGACCATCAGTATCCACTCATCCTCTTCAGTAATAAGACTGTGGTCAAAGCTAAAGAGGAAATCATTAATAACCAGACAAATTAAAAAAGGGGTCTTCTATTCAGTGGCACCGATTTATTGATGTTTGTTGTGATTTCATAGTATCTGAAAAGCTTGAAGGGAATCTCTTTATTGGATGTACTCGTGGCCACCAATTTGGTCTGTGGGTCTCTGGTCTCGTGTATGTTAATATGACAGTATACATGAAACGTAAATCTTGATGGTAAATATAGGGACGACTTTGGATCATCCTACAGACTTGTGTATTATGTTCTACAGGTACGAGGGCGAATTGCACTACCTGGGGTACAGAGGTCGCTGGGGAAACCTCAAGCGTGGCTGTGAAGTGTTTGAAGTCGTGTCTGGTGAGTGTATCCTGGACAGTGGCCCTGGGTTCTGGCGTCCCTGGCCCTCTGATTTCCCAAATGATTGCCCTGACTTCTAAGTTGTCCTGCTAGTCGCCTCAACCTCTGTCCTGACGTCACCAAAAACCACCCTGGCCTCCATCCCTGCCTGATGACCTCAACAACAACAACTCCAGACCTCTAACACTGCCCGATAACCTTTTCAATTATTTGCCTGATCTCCTGTTACTTTTCTTGCGAGTCCATTTTTTTTTTGACTTTGGCCGGATTAAAAATCTTCCCAATCTTATATTGTATTTCCCCTCTACATAAGGTTTGTCATCCTGATGTTTGTAACGACATATTCCCTGTAGACTTGTCTACCCAAACAATACTTGGATTAAATTAAATGTCTGGAGAGACATGCAGACAGTAACTCTTGATGTTTTAATGCCAATTTATTGTCTCTATACAGTACCTCTCTCAGTATTACAACACACAAAATAAAACTTTCTTAAGTGTATCTTCAAAAGGACCGATATTATTATTCTCATGCATTATTTGCTTCAAATGAACTTTACCCCCAAAATACAATTGTTAATTATTATCACCATGTCGCTGTAGTTGGCAATATAAAGAACACAAGTAAACAGACTACCGTGTTTGTATCATTAAAACTTTTCCTTGCCAATGAGTCATTTCAAACATAGCCTAACAATTAATTTATTTATTGCCTTCAAGTAAGTTGTTAGTGGCTATCTCGTGACGCTGTGTTGCATAACTTAGTCAGATATTCCTTGCAAGACATCATCAACATTAAATGAGCATTATCCGATCTACAATGAAAAGAGTTAAGAACAAAATCAGGGTGAAATAAATTATTTTACCAAGTCATGCCAGAGCATAATTTGGGATATGATAAGTGCCAAACAGCAGTCTGCATAGCCGCAGACACTAGTAATTAGTTTCTAAAATGGAGGAGATTTTTTATATTCTGTAACAAAGAATCTTGTATTTTTAATTTGTTATGTTGTAAAATAAATAAATAAAAGATGGCAGGGGGTATGCTCCTCCACGAACTGAGTCACCCCATTGTGAGGCCGGCTAAACATGCTATATGCAGGCATCAGAACACATACAAAAATGTCGTCACAATAGTGACGACAAATTTTCAAAAAAATTGCAAAAATTTTCAAAAACTTTCCGAAATTTTTCAAAAACTCAAAATTAAAAATTTCCAAAAATCTTCAAAAAAACATTCAAAATCTTTCAAAATACTTCCAAAATTTTCAAAAAATTTCCAAAAAATTTAAAATTATTTCCAAAAAATTTCAAAATATTTCTAAAAATTTTCAAACTATTAAAAAACTTTATAAAAAATTTCAATTTTGTTTTTAATTTTCGAAAAGAGAGAGAGAGAGAGAGAGAGAGAGTTATATTTAATTTCTTCGTGTTAAGTGGTAGGCTCTGTTATCTGATCAACAAATTATGCCTTAATGTGAGACCTATACCCGATGAGTTCTAGATGACTTCTGTATATTATAAAGACTATCTGGTCACTTCCTGTTCTCACCTCCACTTTTACCGGTCTTATGCTTATTACTTTCTCGTATTGTAATACCATTTCAACTACGTATATTCACCTATTGTATATTTAATATCTTGAAGTAGTACAGTTAGAAACACGTACCCAAATTCGTGCATAAAACCTTTGTTGCTTTAGGTAAGTTAAAAAGCGATATTTATTAACAAACTAGATGAAAATTTTAAGGATAACCTACAGGAAATGTGTTCAGTAACATTAACGTAATAAATGCTACCAGTCTGGGGATCAATATAAAGTTATATGTTGATTTTACTGACTATCTATACAGTATACAGTATTTACCTATATTCACACAACACATCAGTCCTACCTTAGTCTCCTATATCAAAAGCTATATTATAGAAAACGGAGTATTTTTATTTTAGGGGTCTATATGAGAATTTTAATTGATATTCTTTAAAAGTCATTCTCTTTATAGGCAACTAATAATAGCCTTAATAGTAAGCTATTTGACACAGTTGAATTACAGCTCGGTGTCTGAACTATATTAATACAGCATGATTAGTGTGAGTAAGCGGTGAAAACCAAACTAGCCTCACCAAACTCTAGTCAGCCATAGAGCAAGAAAGAGATTAAGGCTTTTAATGGCGAAGCAGAGATACTCAGTTATGTGGTACCAACACAGGGATCTATGTAGCCAGGGTAGAAGTTACGGTTCAAAATAATATTAGAATATACTGTATATCTGCCCACAGTAGATGGTCTATAGTTGGAATAACTTATGTCTACATGTCGACCTGTCTTTTCGTGATTCCTACAGGCCAAGTGGTCACGTGTCACTACATACGTGAGTTTTACATAGACATTTAGAGAACAAAAGTGAATATTACGTGTTTGGAGGATGTCGTCAAGCAAAACAACAGTGCACTTTATTTTTCTTTAATTTAATTATGTTCATAATTGTTGCTATTCTATAACATCTAACCTAACTTTAACTAATCTAGCTTAACGTAACGTAACCTAACCAAGCTCAACCTAATCTGATCCAATCTAACCTAACCTATCTTGATCAAACCTAACCTAACCTGACCACAATCTAACCTAACAGAATCTAACCAAAACAAACGTAACGTAACGTAACTTAACCTGAACCTGTGTGTAGGGGGTAGGTGTCTTTCTATGGGGGAAGACGGTATACTAGGGGTCAGGACGTTTGAAAATACCGACGGGGTTTCTTCAGCAGAGTGTAATCGTCTAGCACTGGCTACATGAAAATATTAGTTACAATAGGATAAGAAAAAAGTTGAGCTGGATCCGAACAGAAAATGATATTTTACTTGAAAATACAGCTGTTGTAACCGCCTTTGACGATCGAAAGAATCTTACATAGTTTATCACGTGAAGGTGCACGGGGAGGCGTGCTTGTGGTGGTGAACTTTATCTTCTTTTTTTCGGAAGACAATCTTTCATGCGATAAGACATACTGCATCTCTTGACAAAGTCAGCGCAGGATACTAATACACAAATTGTCATAGCTGATAGTCTACGTGACACAGTACTCACACTGTACCATAACACACCTGATGCAGGTCATCCCGGACGTGACAAATGACTCGCCGAAATTAGAAAAACGTATTGCATTACATTGAGAAAAGACACCAAGCAACACATTGTTAAGTGTTTTTCGTGTGCGAAACACAAAGGAACGATGATGCCTCCAGTACCAATGCACCTAACGCCAGAACGTACATTTGAAACAGTAGCAATAGATTTATTGTAAATGCCTAAGAGCCACCAAGGTTCCTCCTACATACTTGTACAGTAAGTGTTCATCATTTCTCCAGATTTATGGTTCTAGTAGCATTGCAGGATAAGTCCACGGAGACGGCTTCAGTGACACAACTCATAATGTCTGTTCACTACACTGAAGAGAGAGAGAGAGAGAGGAGGTGAGAGAGAGAGAGAGAGAGAGAGAGAGTAACACCAAGAAAAAAAAATATGTGGAGCAGGGAGGGGGGAGGGAAGGGTGCATACATGTGGTGGAGGAGGAGGATACAGTGATACTCGTGGCGGCGGGGTCCCCTGCAGGAAATACGCACAGGGCGGATATTTCTGTAAGATAAGACGAGTCCTAGGACGCTTTAACAATGCCAGAAGCGGCAGTGAAGCAGAGTACTGGCAAGGCATTGGACGCTCAAGCTGGCGAAGTGGTGGCAATAACGATGGAGTGAACCTTAAGTGGACGTCGGGATAGTGAAGTGGACGTCGGGTTAGTGAAGTGGACGTCGGGTTAGTGAAGTGGACGTCGGGTTAGTGAAATGGACGTCGGGATAGTAAAGTGGACGTTGGAATAGTGAAGTGGACGTCGGGTTAGTGAAGTGGACGTCGGAATAGTAAAGTGGACGTTGGAATAGTGAAGTGGACGTCGGGATAGTGAAGGAAATATCTCAGAAATGTTTGTTTTGCTGCTGCTGATAGTGATGTCACATTCTCTGCTCGTGTCTACGAGATACAGAGGAGGTAACAGAGAGAGAGAGAGAGAGAGAGAGAGAGAGAGAGAGAGAGAGGAATGCAAACAGAAGAGAATTCGATTATGTACTGCGAACACACACACACACACACACACACACACAAGAAAAATCAGACTGTGTGTGAAAAAAAAGCCTAGGTTAGCTGTTGTAGTTCTTATAGTTCTGTGGTAACGATGTGGTCACGGGTTCGAGACCTGCATAGTGAAGTATTGTTGGTATATTAAGGTCCGAGTGTGTGTATGTATATATCGTGGCCGGATAGATGGCCGACGGACTTTTCACCGCGGACATTTGAAAGAACGGACATTGAGCCGACAGACAATTGGCCGAACGGACAATAGACCGAACGGACAATTAGCAGAACGGACATTTGGGCGAATGGACAAATGGCCTTTTCATTTTTTTTCTTTCTTCATTACAATGTATTTGCTTTATAAAACACAGGATAAAAAGATAACATAATTGCAATGTGATACATTTGCATGATAGAAAATTCTTTTTTGCACATTTACTAAAGGATAGGTTGGGTTAGGTTAGGTCCATTTGTCCATTCGGCCATTTGTCCATTCGGCTAAATGTCCGTCGGTGAAATGTCCGTCGGTGAAATGTCCGTCGGTGAAATGTCCGTCGGTGAAATGTCCGTCGGCCAAACGTCTGGCGGTCAAGTGACCGGGAGCCATATAAATAAATAAATAAATATATATATATATATATATATATATATATATATATATAATATATATATATATATATATATATATCATTACTCCTCTATCTATCTGTTTATCTATCTAATTTATATACACACTAATAGGAAATAAAATAAAAATATTCCAAAGTATAAAACCAACGCATACACTGAGTCCTTCTTATGTTATCTGCTACAGGTTGTAAGCCGCCCACGAGTGGCTCCGAGGTCACCTTTTATACGGAGGATGAACAAGAGACGTATTCTCTTCTTTGGCACAGGGTGACTAAGAGAGACACTCAGATCAACATGACGCTACATCTTTATTCACTGGGAAACACTACGTTAATACGTCAGAAAATAGATCCTTTCATTACATCAGACACCGAGTACTTCTCAAGGATTTATCTGAGTTATTCTAAGGTGAGATTCGTTTTATTTGAAAGGATTAACAGTAAGGTGAACATGAAATTTGTAAGTGAAGTTCACATTAACACAAACTGACATCCTCCTCACTGGACCCAGATGTACAGTTCCAGCCACATGAAAGAGAGACGCTGTCGTAACCCCCCCCTTTTTTGTGTAGAGCAAGAAGGGGGTGACGATTAGGGGTGGGGAAAGGAGTTAGAGTTCGGAAATTGAAGAAATTTTGGAGGTAGAAGGAGGCTGACTAAGCTAATAGTGTGTAATAGTCCAGAAGCATATGTAGAAAAATGATGCTCCGTGGCAGGTTTAGTGATGAAAAGGCGGGACTGGTTATGTTTCCTCAGAAACTATCTATAGATGAATCATTCTTATGGTGTGGGGTGTAGTATTGATGACGTCATCAAGATGGCCACCAACGAAATTCATAAAATCGTCAATATCTGTTATATATGGACTAATTTTATTTTTATGGTCTCATTTTAAAGATATTTTTCATACCCAAAAATCAATGGTCTCTCAGGTATTTCCATATTTATAGTACAGATATGCAATTACATCACTAGAGCATTTCCAGGCTAACTTGGCCCGTAAGCTACGCCCCTCGTCTATAGCTACAAATAAATGATTGGTTAATAGAAAATGTTCGTGTTCATTTATTCAAACTAAATGTGTTCACAATTGGTAAACAGACTTGTTATTCTCTAAAATAATGTTAAATATCTGAACTATCAATATGTAAATGATTTCAAGGCATTAGCACTTCAGAGAGGATGTTAGAAAATTTTAAGTATTTATCATAAAAGGTCGAAGTCAAAGATGAAATTCACTTTGGAATGAAGGCTTCTCATTATTTCTTTGTTTTGTACCAAACATAAAGCAAACAGAAAGAAATAATACCAAACATATAGTATAATACACACACACACACACACACACATTCTTACCATCAAAAATAAACGTTGACACATTTTATTCTCTAACCTGGAGCATATTAACAGAGACGAAACATGACTTGTCGCCAGCACCAGAGGATGGCAGCACTATCAACACCCCGGTTCAAGGTGGAAAACTAATAATTTGAGTTTAAATACATTTAGTTTTCAGTGTTTTATACAGCAGGAGTGCTCGTTATATGACCTTATTAACAACACGTTCTCGCAGTATACATGTAGACTATTTAAAGTAAGCTCGTTATTCGCACCCTTGTCTTGGCTAGGGATAACTGCCGAGATTATGACCGTGTTCGACAATTACCGAGTGGTTCAGTTGCTTCCAACACAGTATGAGAATAGAAAGACTTAAAGAACATAAATATAACATTTTAGATGGAGCTCCGCAATTTAAAATACGTCTGTTATATTAGAAACTTTTATTATTTATGATGTTTACTTGGATTCATACACCGCGACCATAGTGAGTTCATAAATTAGATCCAGAGGCAGATATTTGTTCCTTCGTTTGTCTTTCAGTGTCAGAACAGAGGTTTCTTCATGAACCTCCTCGTGAAAACTATAATGTCGCCAGCCAGACCCTAACTCGCCCTCAACTTCAGGGTTAGGCCTAAATGAACCAGTTAAAGTAAAGTTAATTATGACACCAAACCTGCCCCTATCCGCTAACTCTATCCTCACCTTAACCCCACAAGCCTCCCCCTACCCTGTATTGCAACCGTTCCCGCCTCCCCCAACTGTAACTCGTCGGTCAGAAGCGAGCCAGCACTTGTGTAAAGGGCCTCAAATAATTTTGTTTTTTATTAATTACTGTATTTGTGGAGAACATAATTGTCTTCCCAACAAAAGTTTAGTTTTTAACATGACTCTACAGAAATACATTATCTAATGACTTGTAAATTATTATAAAATTTCAGACGAATAAGAAAACGTTAGTTTCTTCAAAGTTCGTATCCAAGACCTTTAACGGAACCAAGTTGCAGCAAGTGACGGTGGTGAGCAACGCCTCGGTGGAGTGGGTCAAGTGTTTTGATCTTTATTCTTTCCGTGAGTCAACACCTGTACTGACACTTCTTACACCTGTCGTTACACCTTAAACTCATTTGCTTCACTCACCGTGTTCCTTGTGTCCAAATACTCCCAAATAACACACTTCATATATTCATATCAATCGTAAAAATTTAAATAACTTAATAATTTTTCTCCATGCTGAATGTATTTACAGTTGCTTAGTTGTATTGTCACTTACTGATACAGTGAAATACATCTTGTAAGTTAACTGAAGTCTTATGTTTCCAGCCAATCTGTCACGTTCCAGTCACGCTTCATTGTTGGTAGCCACTGTGGTGCTGGCAGTGTTGGTGCTGATGTTGCTGGTGGTGACGTTTGTTGGTGCTGCTAACATTTATTGCCTTAGGAAGTCCAAGACTGAAGGTAGGTGAGAGAGATAATGATAAAAAAACGGATAGCTAAAGCAACGGACAGACATACACCGAGATTTGCTGTAGATGTCCAGTTTGAACAAATTTATTTATTTTTAGCTTAACGAAAAGTCTAAAAGTTATTTCATCAATTAGTTAGTTTGTCAGTTAATGAAAAATGATACAGTAAATCAGTTAGAAAATCACTCAGTCAGGAAATTAATCAATCAGTCAGTCAGTCAGGTAATCAAACAGTTATTCTATCATTCAGGAAATCAATCAGTCAGTCAGTCAGCCAGTCAGTCAGTCAGATCCATTAATAGGTTGACTGTTACAGCGGCTCCCTTACCTCTTGGAGACTGTGGCGAGTCCTCGAAGGTCATACAAGACCAAGGTGAAGACCACGTGTATGAAGACTGGAACTACGGAGCCGTCACTTCCATCTACTACGACGCACGTAACAGCCTCTACGTCAGCGCTGACGAGAAGACAGCAACAGTATCAGCGACCAAGAAACAAGAACAATCATGACAAGGCGACCTGAGTGAAGGACACTGACTCAAGTGTACAATTAAAACAACTGACCTAACCTTTACGTGACCTAACCTAACCTAACCTGAACTAACCTCACCTAACGACCTAAACTAACCAGTCTTGTAGTTTAATAATAAGCATTCGTCTTTTATCTCTCTCTCTCTCTCTCTCTCTCTCTCTCTCTCTCTCTCTCTCTCTCTCTCTCTCTCTCTCTCTCTCTCTCTCTCTCAGAACACAATCTATATCTTCGTCACTCTTTGTCTATCTGTCTCTATCTCTGTCAACATCATTGTCTCTCTTTTTATCTATAGGTCACTATTTCTTTCTGTCTCTCTCACTCTACACGCTTGTCTCTCTCTTCGTCTGTGTATCTCTCTTCCTGTTTACACTAACGTCTGTCTGTCTGTCTGTCGCTTTCTCTGTTTACAATCTCGTCTCTCTTCTCTTCTGTGTATCTCTCTGTCTCTCCAGTAAATCTCTCTCTTAATGCTGTAGTTAATTTAATACCTTATGTCTGTACTGTGTGACTGTTGACATTGAATATTCGATCATTTTACGTCTAAATCTTATCATTATTTACCGGGTTAGTTCTAATATCTTATCAGGGTTTATAAATCCTTATATAAGTTATTAATGTTTTTTATAATGTCTTATATATTAAAAATAGTAATAATAATAATTCAGTAAAGTTGTCATAGAGCTTTACAACTGGATAAGCATGTTTATAAAATATGCATACATTTCAACACGAATATAGACAATATGTAGGTAGGCCGTGGAAGTACATGGTATACAGCAATGGTAAACAGTAAGTTAACTTGACCAGGAACAGCCGACAAAGCTGTGTCAGGTGTTTATTTCTTGGAAGGTTCTTTGTTTAGGCTTACGCTTGGCTCTAATTAGTAATAGTATGTCTACAGGAGTAATGGTGAAAGTGTTTGATAAAATTCAACAAGCATTACATTGTGGTTGGACTATCCGAGGCTGGCGGATCACTTCATCTGTCATGTATATTTTTTGTCTTGTCTTAACTTTGTTATAAGAGTAAAGAAGAAAGTGTTTTTCCGTTGAGCGCGGACACCGGGCACCATAACACTATGTTGACTCCCTCTAGTGCCCTGTCGGTTCATATCCCTATCCTTACAAGGTCTGTTGTTAGATACTCTGGGCAGTCCATTGAATATCCTGTGAGAGCAATTCAGCCTCAGTTGCCTCACTCTATCAGCCACACTTAACGTGTTCAGTGATTGAATTAACCTCACCACCTTTTTTTTTTATTTTATTTCTAATATAGTTCACAAGATAACTTCAACAAATAAATATTGCTCTGTGTTATTATTGTGATCATAATAACGCTGTACATTATACAGTACATGATCACGTTCTGTACTGGTGTAATATACATTACGATGAGTATCTATGTGCAGTACATCGCCCTCCATTTTCCAATTGCCTCACAACGTGCGTGCCCTGAGGATGAGTTCCAGGACATGGTTACTCCGTTGGTGGTCCTGGCGATATCTCTAGCACTTTTTCACCTGGGAACTAATGTATGGACAGAATACAGTAGTGACTAAGTGCTTTTGCAAAATCGATATTCTTTTTTTTAGTTTTCTACCCATATATTGTTGATGTTATAACATGGCGACATGAAGGGTGGTGTACGTTGAACGTAACACTACTTAAATTGTGTACTTATTTCTATTAATAGACTAAATTAAATATTTTATCACTTTGTTGTTATCCTTACATTCTAGTAGATGTATACATTAGTAAAGTAAATAATCACATGAGTTGTGTGGTTACACCGTACTCCTGGATCCACCTCGGACGGGACAGCACAACATACGGATATGCAACTTTCGGCCTCTAAATATTTACATAGTATATTGGTGTAGTCTTTTACATTAATAAGAAACTAGAACCTTCAACAGGTGGTGTGACTGTACAGATAACGAGGTATAAACTGAAGATATTATTATGGTGGTTTGTGTAACACCCGCGGAGTACCTGTCGTTATCTGATTTCCTGTCAACTGGCAACACAGTTGTTTCCTCTTGTGCTCCTCATGAGTTTGGTCAGCTGGATTAAGGCCAAATGGATCGCCAGTCTTCTACAGGACACCAACGACTCCTAGAGGAGGTACACGAATTCCCCAGAGAGAGTCACAAAAATAGACAACAGCTGTTCGAGTAGTTCTAGAAGTACAGGTCACTACAGAAGTGAACAGTAGTGGCCAGTGTGGACATGAGCTTATACAGGGACGGACCTTGAACTTTCAGAATTGGGGTCGTATATGAGTCATTTCCCCCCTTCCTGCAAGTTCTTCCCGAGAAGACTTTTCAGAAATAGAGCTTTGGAATGTTTTGTGTGCTCGAGAACTATAATGGATACGAAGATGATCCACTGCAAATTTAACATTAACCCCTTCACTAAGGGGACGCCACTTTTAATATTTTATCTAGCTAACGAAGATGGTTTTATTCAGCCCAGAGGGGACACCAACACAAGTGGTTAGAAGACTATCTTCCTAAAATAAACGAGACCAGACAACAAGTCGCTCACTGCCTCTGATTATTGTAATGTAAGGATTGGTTATCAAAGTGTGATCCAATAGTGTATCCCAACGGAAAAAAAAAGTGGTTCTTAATAACAATCACCAGTGTAGTACTAACCCTTGAGTACTTTGTCGGCAGCCACAGTACCGCCATTGAGTTAAAGGTCACAGCGGATAAACAGTACAGTACGTCCACAACAACAGATATCAACAGATGTTCACCAGTGAAGTACTCCCGGCGCACCTTGTACAGTTTAAAGCAGGGAAACGATATCCTGACAGCAGTGTTATTGTGCTACTAAAATCATTGAACATATTGCATGCTTTTGGTCATAAACAGAAGCCCATCAGGACCATCACCTCCAGTAGAAAACAAGAGAGACCTACACCTGACAGACCGTACCAACACACTGAAGTTCCCCGAATATGGTATGGCCTCCCTTCCTTACTGCTATCCAATGTCACTTCCCTCGCCAACAAATTTGACGAGCTCGCCATCACAGTCCAGTCAGTTACTGCTAATGTCGTTGTCATCTGTGAGGCGTGGCAAATTGTTCCTGATACTTGTCACATTGAGAAATATCAACTCTTTCATCATCATCATCATCATCATCATCATCGTACCTCTTCTGCCAGGATGAACTACGTCCGTCCCGTCTGGATGTTTTAATCCCAGCTGATGTGAGCGCATTATGGGTACGTGTTGTGCCACGTGCTCATCCTCGCCACACTGTCTTTATCATAAACCGCCTCGCTCACCCACCAGGGACGTTCTTATCACTCACCTCATTACTACCTCAGACCACTTCAGCATTAGGTACCCATGTGCCAAACTAGTACTACAGTATGTGGGGATTATAACGAAACTGACACCACTGATACCGAGGACCAGCTTCTACTATCACAAGATGTGAACTTCCCTATGAACTTTTGACCTTATCTTAACTGACATAGCGGACCAGTACCAACCACCTCAACCAATGCCTCCTATCGGGTGTAGTACACATCAGTATTTTGGTCTCCAGCTCCCACTACCACTACATCAAGACCTACAGACCGATTACTGACGCTGCAATGCTTCTTTTCGGGCAGTGGATAGTTCACCATCCCTGGACTGAAGTACTAAATGTGGATGACGTAGACACCAAATGGACAAATTACATCAACATCACCACAGGAACTCACCACCACTTCTTACCTGAGAAGTCGGTCAGATTACACCCAGCTGACTTGCCCTGGATCACACCTCGGATCAAAAGACTTATGCAACAGAGAAACAGCGCCTTTCATCTCACTGACCACAACCGCTACAGGTCCCTTCGCAACCATATTATCCATGAAATACACACTGCAAAGAAGTCTTACTACCCAACCAAGCTGCAACACCTGAAGCAGACCAACATCAGTCAGTGGTATGTTTAGCTTAAAGAACTTTGTGGACCAAACAATAAGACACACCCCCTCCCCTTCCTTAGCCATCTCACTAATGGTGACGCAGCTGAGCAATCAAACAACCATTTCACAACTACTAGTATATGCTACCCGCTCCACCAGCTTGACACAACTAGTCTCCCTGCTTACCTACCAGCTCCCTTTCCCATTGACTTAGTGTAAGAATTTTAAGTAGCAAAACGTCTGCACAAACTGAAGTTAAGGCGCTCCACCACCCACATTGACTTACCAATGAAACTCTACAAGGAGTTCACCCCGGAAATAGCTAAACCCCTCAGCCAAGCAAGGTGCTCAGCTGACTGGAAGACCTCATATGTGTCACCAGTACCCAAGTCAACCAGCCCACAATCCTTAAATGAGTTACGACCCATTGCCATCACCTCAATACCCAGCTTAATCTGCGAAAGCTTCGTGTTTGACTGGGCTTATGCTGATCTGGTAGGCGCCATAGATCCTCAGTAATTTGGCAATATGAAAACTTCCTCCACCAGTCACTGTCTTGTCAGATTTCTCGACTACATATACCGCCATCTGGAAAAACGAAAGACGTCTGTAGCTATCGCCTTCATTGACTTCACCAAAGCAATCGACCTAGTTGACCACAATGTAATCAACAAAGCTATCGACGACCTCGGGTTTCGAAGAAATCTTATACCATGGCTTATAGACTTCCTTAGTGACCGACGCCAAGCCGTACACTTCCGAGGGGCTGTCTCCACCTTTTAGTCACTCACCTGTGGCGTCCCCCAAGGCACCAAGAAGGGACAGCTCTGCTTCCTCATGTTTATCAATGACTTCACCATTGGGATCAGTGTGAACAACTCGGCTCCTGACTACAGCGCCCTCCTGAATATATTGAACAGTCTCCAAAATTGGACCACCAACAATCATGTCATTATCAACCATACCTAGCCCAAGGTTATGGACATCAACCTCACCTCTAACCTTGTCCCACCTCCCTGCATTGCTTTAGGGCCCCAACACACTCCAGGTTGTGGACTCCACCAAGCTCATTGGTGTCACTATAGATAAGAAAGTAAATTGGAAACACACATCAGTGCAAATGTCAAATCCTCCAGTTTTCGTCATATACGTCTTCCATCGACTCAAGTCCCTCGGAGTTCTCTCGCCCGAGCTCCTCAGTACTTACTCAACATTCATACTTCCCAAGCTCACCTATGCTTCCCCTGCCCGGTAATAACCACACAACAAAAACACCTGCACAATTATTGTGATTCATACAGTATCACGTGCATATATCGTAATTGTTTGTGCTAAAGTGTACATATTTTAAATGAAGAAAATCAAATATGGTAAATTTATCACTAGGTGTTAAAGGTATCACTAGGTGTTAAAGGTATCACTAAGTGTTAAAGGTATCACTAGGTGTTAAAGGTATCACTTGGTGTTAAAGGTATCACTAGGTGTTAAAGGTATCACGAGGTGTTAACCATCAATAACTAACAGAAGTTTACTCACACACACAATCAAGAAATAATATTTCAGAATGTAATTAATCAAACAAATTGTTTTCGAAATTCTGGAAGTAATTCGAGGTTTAAAAAATAACAATAATCTTTTTTGTTTTCGTAAGTTCTCTCGTATATTGTGTTAAAACTTATATTCATCAGAATTCCATCGTTGAGTCTCATTCTTCCTTAATGGATGTGACTATAACAATTCTATACGGGTTTTACAATGGAGTCTCTCTCAGGCCAGCACCACCAGAGTGAATTACGGCGACTGTAATCCTATTTTCGCCCTGAAAGTGGATTTGCATTTCATTATTATCGCGCAATAGTTCACTTCTTCCCTGACTTGCGTCTGATATGTCTTGATCCGTCCCAGGGGGAATACCTTGATCCACCCCAGGGGGAGTACTTAGACCCACCTCCAGGGGGAGTACCTAGATTCAAACCGGGGTGAGTACCTTGATCCGCCCCAGGGAGGAGTACCTTGATCCGCCCCCATGGGGGAGTACCTAGATCCACCCCAGGGAGAATAGCTAGATCCACCACAGGGGGAGTACCTTGATCCGCCCCAGGGGAGTACCTAGATCCATCACAGGGGGAGTACCTAGATACACCCCAGGGGGAGTACCTTGATCAGCCCCAGGAGGAGTATCTAGATCCGCCCAAGGGGAGTACCCAGATCCACCTCCAGGGGGAGTACCTAGATCCACCCCGGGGGGGGGGTGTACCTAGATCCATCCCAGGAAGGGAGTACCTTGATCAGCCCCAGGGGGAGTACCTAGATCTGCCCCAAGGGACCACCACCTCTCTCTCCGTCTCACACCAGGTTCTTCAGTAGTGGTGACGATACACTCACAGTACAGTATACATTTATTATCCTACAGTATGTTTATTACTGTTGCTCTTACGATGACTTACGAATATTATAAGAACACGACATATAATCATTGTCCTAGTGTTGTTCTAATGAGGTAGCAATTAACTTTTTTATATTGATATAGAGACAGCTTATTTAGCCAAAAAAATTACAGACCCAGAGTGGACAATAATAACAATATTGACATGGTTGAACCAGCTGAGAACCTGAACTCTCTTAGTGGCACCTGATATATACTTAAAATTAATGAGGACACGACTCATGTTCACTTTCCTTCATTATTACCGGACGCAGCAGTTCCCAAACACTGTTTACTTAAGTAGCAGCAAGACTGATTGAGTCGGTCACAAGATAAACAAACTGACTGAA